ATGAAAATTAGGAAGAGTGAGTAAGGAGGACTAAAATAGTTTAGATTGAAATTAGTAAATCTTAAATCAAGAAAATATAATTTATGGCAAGATATTACAAGGAGGGAAGGACAGTTCTTACTGAACATGGAAGCTCCAAGTCACAAATGTTAACTTTCACATAACTATGGGAAACTTCTCCAAATGAAATAACATTTCAGAATTTGAGCAAAAACAGAATTTGCTGGAAAAGCTCAGCAGGTCTGGCAGCATCTGTGAAGAAAATAAATCAGAGTTAAAAGTTTCGGGTCCGGTGACCCTTCCTCAGAACTGATGATAGCTGGGAAAATGTCAGTTTATATGCAGAAAATAGGGAAGGGAGTGGGGTAGGGAGTAAACGATAGGATAGAGCCCAAAGATAGAGAAGAACCGTTGGACAAACAAAGGAGTTGATTACAATCTGGCCGGGAAGGTGAATAGTTGTATATGGGGACTGTGGTGTGTAATGGCAGGCTATGTGATAATAAAGCCTGGTGCGTAGGGTAGGGGGCTAAGAAATGGGAGAGTTTAGGCCCTAAAATTATTGAACTCGACATTGAGTCCGGAGGGCTGCAGGGTCCCCAAGTGGAAAATGAGGTGTTGTTCTTCCGGCTTGCGTTGAACTTCACTGGAACACTGCAACAAGCCAGAGACAGAGATGTTGGCCAGGGAGTTAAAGTGTGTTAAAGTGGCAGGCAACATGTAGCTCAGAGTCTTCTTTGCGAGCAGAACGTGGACGTTCTGTGAAGCGGTCATCCAGTCTATGCATCATTTCCCCAATGTAGAGGAGACCACCTTGTGAGCAGCAAATGAAGTAGATCCTGGGAAGTGCAGGTGAAGTGTTGCTTCACCTGGAAGGCATGTTTGGGCCCTTGAATAGTGGGGAGGGAGGAGGTAAATGAGCAGGTGTTGCACCTTCACTGGTTACAGGGGAAGGTGCCGTAGGGGGGCGATGGGGGCTGGATGGTGGTGGTGGGAGTGAAGCATGTGTGGACCAGTGTGTCCCAGAGAGAAGGGTCCCTGCAGAAGGCGGACAAGGGAGGGGAGGGAAATGTGCGTCTGGTGGTGGCATCTCGCTGGAGGTGGCGGAAATGGCGCCTGATGATCTTCTGGATGTGGATGCTGATGGTATAGGTAAGGACAAGGGGAACCCAATCGCTGTTGCGGGAAGGAAGAGAAAGGGTGAGGACAGAAGTGTGGGAGATGAGTTGGACCTGGTTGAGGGCCCTGTCGACAACAGGAGATCCAGTTGATTAAAACTTTGACAAGCAAAGGATCCAATCCCAGATGCAATAACACCTAGACTAAAAAAAATTAAGCAGTCATGCTCATAATGTGGTTTATATGTTTGTTACAGTTCATAAGCAAAGACTCAAGCTTTGCGAATGAAAGGGACACATCCCAGCTTTGCACTTCTTTTGCAAACTTGGGGAGTCTATTCTCCTCAGCACTATGCTTTGGCCAGAGTTGACTTGTAAGCCAATCAGTACCCCTTTCTTCTGTATAGAAATTGTTGAGATCATTTGAAATTTGGCACTCTTGAATGTCACACTATCCTGACAGAGGCAAGACAAAAAGCTAAAGCAGCAAGCCTCTTTACAATAATACTCAAATTCTAAGGAACCAAGCCAGTTATGTAACTTAAGTCCTTCGGCCCTATTACAATGCTGGTAAATCACCACTGCATTTTTACTACAATCTCAACGTTCACCCCAAGATGTACCCAAATTACTCAATGAGGATCAACCAGTGACTTTTTTTAGAAAATGGTTAGTGATAACTTCCTTTCTTTGGTCTTCAAGAATTCCCATAGTTTATTTTTAAACAAATTCAATAAATGGAAAATTCCTAAAACATTGAAAACATTATAGCAATTGCGTAAATGCATTGGCCTCTGGCATAGATTCTGAGAAGCCAGCTATGAGAACATGTAGGAAGCAGAATCAGATTGCACTCTGTTGGGTCAGCCTCATTCAGTCCTTCCCAGAGCTGTTTTAATAACCATCTCCATCCAAAAAAAAAAAATCCAGTCATCAAGAAGGCAACCACCATTTTTGAAATTACACTCATCAATTCTGGGTGTTGCTGTCCATCACTAGCTGCACCAGAGAAAGTGGAGGGGAGCTGCTTCCTTGAACCATTACACTTCATATCTGAGATAACAAGGTGTAGAGCTGGATGAACACAGCAGGCCAAGCAGCATCAGAGGAGCAGGAAGGCGGTTCTAGGCCCGAAACGTCAGCCTTCCTGCTCCTCTGATGCTGCTCAGCCTGCTGTGTTCATCCAGCTTTACACCTTGTTATCTCAGATTCTCCAGCATCCGCAGTTCCTACTGTCTCTGAAACACTTCATATCTGCTCCCCCTACCCTTCGACATGGAAATGGTCATGGGTTTTAAAAATGTATCAAAGGAGCTGTGGCAGAGTTCTGCAGTGCATCTTGGAGATGATGCAAAATGTTGGTATAGTGAATCAGTGGGGAAGCACATGTTTGAGGAATGTGATACAAATAAAGCAGGCAGTTTTGTGCGTGATGGCACAAAAACAAAGTTGCTACAGAAACTCAGCAGGTCTGGCAGCAATGCTGGAACATTCTGACAAAGGGTGATCGACTCAAAATGTTAACTGCTAAGTTTCTCCAGCATTTCATGTATTTGTTTAAGATTTCCAGCATTCAGTTGTTTTACTTTATTGGCCTGGATGCTGCTATGGAGTCAGGCTTTTTGATTGTCAGTGATGCACTCATCCAGGCAAGTTGGAAATATTCCGTTACACTATTCATAATGTAATTCATAATTACATAGTTACATAATATTCCATTACACTAAGCTTTGCCTCACAGATGGTTACTGCCATGTGGGTTATGGATGGATACTCTATTGTTGGATATGGCTATTGCCCGGCACTTGTGTGGTGTAAAGGTTATTTGCTCCTTATCAGCCCTTGTCAACCCAAACTTGGATATTGTCCAGGTCATGCCACATTTGTGTATAGGCTACTTCAGTACTTGAGTCACAAATGGTGCCGAACATTGCATGGTATACATCCACATTTGCAACACGATAGTCATTTTCATGTGTGTCAGGTCCAATTCCAACCAGGGGAGAGCTCTCCCTGCTCCCTACTGCCCACGTCACTTCCAGTAACACTACATATTGATTAGGATATTGATTATTTCTGACTTCCTGAGTCAAAGAAAATCTCTCCCTCTCAAAAATGGAGATGTATTCATTTACAGCCCCAAAATGCCAAAACCTTTTCTTTTGGCCAATATACACCAAAATACGGAGTTCAGTGGGATGTTCTCACGAGCATGGGGAACGTCAGAGTCTAAGGTCTATACAGCTAAAGGCATGGTCACCAATGATAGAAATGAGGGTTGAGATCTGCAGTTGATTTGACGTCTTTGGTACTCTATGCATACTTGAACAGTGTGGTTTAAAATTCTTTTAATCAAGGTGATCTTCCCCTATGTCAGACAACAAATCAACCAAAAAAGTTTATAATTTTTCAGAATGCAATTACTTGCACCCTTACCCACAAATCATCTACAACAGATGGGTAAAGGATACTGTGTACTCTAGAAACGGCACTTTGTTATTAATGTACCATGTCACAATAGAGAAAGTCTGCTGGTAGTCAACAACTAAAAAGTGTCGCTTTCCATCTCTAAGCAGTATTGTTATTAGATTAGCTAAACTTTGTTTATAATTTGCTATTAGCTTGATGTTGAAATATTTGACCTCAGTTACTATTCATTTTTATTTGGTCCTAGTTTCTACCATTTACTGAATTACAATGGAGTATCAATGCAAGTTTGCCATTACTTTGGAGTTTTTCCTGGCCTGTGAGGGCTGGAACAGGGACAACACTTTTAAAAGGATATCTTTGAGACAGCCTAATCTATATATCACATCAGTCAATTAAGAACATGGAACTAGAAATGGGGTAGATTGTCATCCAGATTTGGAGACATTCCTCAAGGTAACAGCTGACATTTACAACATAATTTGTTTCAAGAAACTGACTGTTGAAGGAGCACTTGCACAATAAACAAATGGACAGATAACTGGGGTAATAATTCAGAGTCAGTGAAGATTCAAATAACAAAGCCTCTAATCCTACATTGCATTTTTGAAGTTGTGCTATATTGAGTAATTGGACTGCCCAGTTTCCAGGTTGAGCAAACACAACACATAAAAAGTACACATGAAACAGGTTAACACTGTCTGGCAAGTAATGTTATATGGTAGGTTCTTTAGACACAGTTTGTTTCAAAGTAGTCTTCTCCCTCTGGTCTCACATCCTGCAGAGATTGCAGTATTGAATCCACCTACATGACCAATTAGTTAATTGGGTAACAAGCCTTGCACCATTTGAGGCATCATGTACATCCGGGTCATGCCTGAAAAATAGGCAAGAGTTCCAATGGCTGTGAAACATTCATTTCCCCTGGATTAGCACATTATTAAGACTACGTGGAAAGAAACCCTCCGTATTTTTGTCAATGACTAAATTTGCATCTAAAGCTGGCTAAAACTAAATGTCCCTACACAAGTAAATCCAAGAACAGACAAGCCTTTAGAGTTGGTTTTGATGGCCTCGTGTCCTTTGCTGAATTGAACGGATTCCTAATCAAAGGCAGCATGTAAAACCATGCTCATTGGCCATTGCCAAGCAATCACTGTACTGAAGCAGTTTATGCTGGCATTGCTGCATGAAAAACACCCAAACCTAAATGCGCTATCAAATCCCACACCTCAGTACTGTCTTGAATCTCCTGCAGCCCTCAACCCTCATTGAACGCGCCATCATTGGTGGTCATGCCATCAGCTGTATACGCCTTAGACTCTAGCATTCTCTCCCAACGCTCCTCGAAAAGGTGCTCCTTCAAAAAGTTAGTGCAGTGCAAGCTTTTGATCGCTTCTAATATTTAGTTCAGCGTTAAATTCCATTTAATAATGCTCTGTAAAGCACTTTGGGTCGCATTAAATAAACTGCATTTAATGTAAGTTGTTAATGTAATGTACACAACTGGCAATATCTATGTAAACAATGTATGAACATTGATGCCTTCCCTTTCAAATTAAAGACAATTCAAAAATAACAAGACATAATGGGTTTTGCAGATCACTAGACAATATTAAACCTAACTTGCACTTTATTACCCCGAGTCATACAGATAACAAAAAAAAAAAATTGCAGTATCTGACCACTGTGATACAACTTAAATATTAAACAAAAAAAAATGTGCAGAACTGAATGTAAACACTTATCTTTGGAAAAAAGTTCCCTTCAAAACAAGTCAACAATGAAAGCTTCCTTCAAATTACTAAAACTAGTAACTCTTTGGAGGACATTAATTTAGAGTTTGAGCAAATTAATGTCTTGAAGCTAATCCCATGTATCTTCACTGTTTCCTCCATGTGTCACTGGTATATTTGTTTCATAGCCACTGAAGTTTCTGTTAACACCTAGACCCTACAAATAAAAAGGTGGAGAGAGACAACAGATTATTTGCAGCTATGTAAAATACGCTTTTAGCAACTATTCAGAGTAATAATTTATAAATAAGACAAGTTGTTATTTGAAAATGCTCGAGTATAATTATTTCATTATTTATGTATATTAAGTTTAGTTCAAAAGAATCTCTAATTTAAGTTGTTCTGCGGGTCAGGAAAGCTGACATTTTGTTTCTAGACACTCGGGACCCGAAACGTCAGCTTTCCTGTTCCTCTGAGGATGCCTGGCCCTCTGTTTTCCTCCAGCTCCACACTTTGTTATCTCTGATTCCAGTATCTGCAGTTCTTGCTATCTCTGTGGGTCATATGTTTTTCTTTAAAAAGCAATGTTAAGAACCCAAAAACAAAACAAAAAACAACCAAAAATAATGCCTAGTTACTCCCACAAGTTTAATTATCTCCTTTCACTTTCCAGGCTTGCACTTAAAAATGAAAATAAAGAAATAACTGCGAAACCTGGTTGAGAATCATTCCTTCCATTAATGAGAACTACATTTCAAAAGATGAACTAGATGACAAGCATCCGCTCTTCACATGCCAAATTCAGTGTACAAAGCTGATTTATATACCTTTTAACGCACTTCAAATCAGGGCTGCCTGTGCAGCATCCTCAAATCTGCTGGCACAAACACTGAAGCACTGGAAACACTAACATCGAGGCCATGCTCCAGCAAATTCAGATGTGTTGGGCAGGTTGTTTGTCTGACTAAGAGAGCTGTCCTTCAGCAATTGGTACAGAGGGGCCCCAAACAAACATTTTAATGACTCACTGAAATCAGTGCGCCACAGCAGCCACTACTAGAGGAAAGCACAGGCCATAGTTCCTTGCCTGGAGATGTTGTATCAAAGGTGTCTGAGAGATCTTTGAGGCTGAGGGAAGAGCCAGCATGATAGGAATAAGAGGATAAATTCAATTGCCCCCAGCAATTTACATATACATGCACCCTCTACGGGGGAAAGTTCCTTATCTATGACTGGATCTAAGTCATAGATAAGCCTGCAACCAATGAGTACAAGCACAAAGAAATATCGAGGCAGACAGGGACAGAGGAAGGGGGGGGAGACAGAGAGAGAGAGCGAGAGAAACAGTGAGAGAGCACGCGAGCGAGAGAGAGAGAGCTTATGACAAAAGGCAAATAACGTTCAAGCCGTACAACAGCCAGGTAATAGCCATCTCCAACAAGAGACAATGTCTCCTTGACATTCAATGGCATTAACCAACTTGTTGTATCCTCCAAATATTACAAGCGACTGGCCACATAAATACATGGCTACAACAGCAGCCAGAGGCTAGGAATCCTCTGGAGGCAAGTAACTCACTTCCTGACACCCCAAAGCCTATCCACCATCTACAAAATACAAGTCAGAAGTGTTATAGAATACTCCCTAATTGCCTGGATGAGTGCAGCTCCAACAACACAAGATTGAAGCCACCTGAGGTAAAGCATCCTGCTTAATTGACATCACATCCACAAGCATCCACTCCCTCCACCACTGACGCTCAGTAGCAGCAGTGCATACTACAAGATGCACTGCACAAATGCACCCAAGATCCTCAGTCAGCGCTTTCCAAGCCTATAACGACTTCCATCTAGAAAGGACAATGGCAGCAGATACCTGGGATCACCACCACCTGCAGGTTCTCCTCCAAGCAACTCACCATCCTGAATTGGAATTAAATTACCATTCCTTCAATGTCACTGCGTCAAAATCCTGAAATTCCCTCCCTGACACACCAAAATGAACTGCAGCAGTTCAAGAAGGTAGCTGACCATTACCACCTTCTCAAGGGCAACTAAGGACAGGCAATAAATGCTGGTCTATCCAGTGAAACCCGCCTCCCATGAATGAACTTATTTTTTGAAAAATGGAGAATTAAACTGATAGATAATAGAAAAATATAGTTGGGAAGTGGATCCAGGTTGCTTTGGTATTTGGCAAGAAACGTGTGTGTGTCTGAGCCAGCAAAAGGATTATGGAAGTAGAGACCACTCAAAACATGTAGGGCTATGAAGATAAAGAAAGCAAACAAGATGAAAACGTCCCAATCATTCCAAAATTAAAAAGGCAGGCAAAGCCAGGACCCATGGGAGGTACTCAAACACCTTAAGGAAGATAATGAACAACTTCTTTTGAGTTTAATGCAGGAACAAGTTCAGTCACATGAACAATTATGACCACAGATGAGGACTGGTTGATCTTCCATCCAATGAGGAGGATGACTCTTTTTTAGGCTACCCTGGCTGCGGTTGAAGGTGTAAAGAGACACCTCCTGTAAAGGCAGCTGTTCATAGTCAGAGACTGTGAAGCGAAGATCTCCAAATAGATAGGTTGGCGACATCCTTGGGATCAAAGCTTGATGTTTAAATGGCAGCAGTCACTGGAGACCAGGGTACACGAGTTAACATTGGCACCACCCTTGTCAACAGTTCTAAGATAATGTTACGGTCAAACCACTGGAGAAGCAAGTGCTAGGAGTACAGGAGAAGATGCTTTACAGTGAGGGAGGGGAACAGAGAAATCGAATGGTTGATGTCATGACAGCAATTCACTATAAATTATTTACTTAGTTTAAGAGGTTGAGTTAGGTAATCTCTATGCAACTTCAAGAAATCACTCCATTAAACATGCATCTTCTTTGAGAGTGCAGTGTAATCTTCCTACAATTTAGTGCTCAGAACTGTTCACAGTATTCCAAGTGTGGCCGAACCACAGTTGTGAACAGCTGAATCATTACTACTATCTTGTTGGATGTTAATATTCTGGATGTAAAGATAAGCATTCCATTGCCTTTTCAAAATTATCCATTGCACCTGTCCATGACATAGTAAATGATGTGTATATCTGAGCCTCCAACTCTCCATTTTACATGCCTACATTTACCTATATCAAAATCCACACGCTACAGTCTTACCAGCTTTAAACAATCAGTGTCTCTTGATAATGTTATGCACGTTTATGCTACCTATTTTTGCATCATTGGCAAATTAGGATACCTAGTCTATTCATTATGACTTAAATGATAGGATATTTACTAGTTGAAGTCTCAGCGTTGAGCACTGGAACACACTACTAATCACTATCACTTATAGTACAGGGCGATTATCCCTATTTGAGTATTACTGAAAAAGGACACAGACCTTTTTAATCTTGCACTCAGAACAATTTGCCAGAATTAGCAAATTAAAAAAAGGAAAAACCATTTATGCTCCATGAGTATTGATTAGCTGGCAAATGGACTCTGATTAGTAGAGTTCTTGTCATTGGGAATCCATGGTTGACTGAACAGAACTGTTAAGGGTTTTAAAATTTAAAGATTCTGGTCATATGGATTCTCCAGTGCAATGTTTCTACCAATCACAGACTGTGAACCAATCAGCAGCCCCCTCCCAGTACAAAGTTCATTTCCCATTGCTATTTAAATTGTATAAGCTTTTGCCTTACACTCAGAACTAGGTCTTTTGTCAGCAATACTATTTCCTGTCACTCCGCCAATTACATATCTATAATAATTGCTTATTTACAAAATGTTTTCTCAAAGGTTCTAGTCAATTCCACAGCAACAGCTGGAAGAAGCCTGTTTTATATTTGCTTTAGATTTCAAGCATCTGATGTGCTTGCTTTCACCCTTTAGAATTTGTATGTTTCAATGTGATCACCTCTCATTCTTCTCAATTCCAGAGAATGTAGATCAAATTTTGTTCAGCCTATCGTACCCAAAAAACAGACAGTATTCCAGCAGGATCAACAGCAAGCTCTCCATCCCAAATCTGTTTGCTACGTCTTGTGTCATAGTTCTGTAGGTTAGTGCACTTGTAGAACATCTCCTAGCCATTTTAAATGTACCAAGTTTCCCCTATAACACTCCTTAAGCAGTGAGTTCCAGACATCACAGCACCTACTCAAAGAAAAACTTCAAGTTTCCCTCAAATTCCTCTCCCAAATACTTCAAAATTGATGACCAAGTTAGTGTCTTTCCTATCCACTATCTCAGTTCAGATTTCTTGGCTTCCCCCATCAACCTCCTACCAAACAAGTTATCCCCAGAAATGAAGTAGCCAATTTAGCTAAAATAAAAATGGAGAATAAAAAACAGCCTGATTGCAGATAATGAGATTATAAACACTTTTCTTCTTCTTCTAGAAGATAGAAACTGGGAAAGGCACAACTGTCAAAGGAACCAGAAATCTGGATCAAGAAGCATTTGAAACATTAAATGTTTTGCAGTATAGAATGGCTATAAAGAAAACTAAGCTCCCAGGCTCATCCAAATCATTTGAGAGAAGAAAAAAGATTGGTGGGATGTGGTTAATGGGAAATGGTATCTTTCATTGTTGATGAGAAGGTATTGGAAACTGCCTCCTTAAACCGCTATAAAGCATTTGGAGCGGCTATACCCACAATGTGGAGCTCCAGTGCCTGGGGTAATGCTCAGTGGTCCTCCAGTTTCATTCTTAGAGATTTAGCAGTTTGATACAATTGAATGGTCTGCGGAACCATTTCAGAATCAATTATTGTGTTGAGTCACATGTAGACAGCAAAGAAAGCAGTTATCCATTCCCTAAAGGGCATTGTGAACCAGATGGGTTTTTAAACTAATTGATAATCGTTTCATGGACACCAGTAGACTTAATTCCAGATTTTAAAAAATTAAATACAAATTTGACCATCAGCCATCACGGGGTTCAAACTCAAGTGTCTAGAACATTACATTTGGTCTTTGGATTATTAATGCAGCAGTACAACGGTCACTTTTTTTTCCTATTCATTTGTGGGATGTGGGCATCGCTGGCTGGCCAGCATTTCTTGCCCGGCCAGCATTTCTTGCCCATACCTAGTCGCCCTTGAGAAGGTGGTGGTGATCTGCCTTCTTGAACCGCTGCAGTTCTCCTGCTGTGGGTTGACCTACAATGCTAGAAGGGAGGGAATTCCAGGATTTTGACCCAACAACAGTGAAAGAACAGCAATATATTTCCAAGTCAGGATGGTGAGTAACTTGGAAGGGAACTTGGAGGTGGTAGTGTTCCCATATGTCTGATGCCCTTGTCCTTCTAGATGGAAGTGGTCGTGGGTTTGGAAGGTGCTATCTGAGGATCTTTGGTGAATTTCTGCAGTGCATCTTGCAGATCGCACACACTGCTGCTACTGAGTATCAGTAGTGGAGGGAATGGATACTTGTGGGTGCAGTGCCAATCGAGCGAGCTGCTTAGTCCTGGATGGTGTGGAGCTTCAAGTGTTGCTGGGGCTGCACTCATCCAGGCAAGTGGGGAGTATTCCACCATACTCCTGACTTGTGCCTTGTAGATGGCGGACAGGCTTTGAGGAGTCAGGAGATGAGTTACTTGCCGCAGTATTCCTAGCTTCTGGCCTGCTGTTGTAGCCACTGTGTTAATGTGGTGAGTCCAGTTGAGTTTCTGGTCAATGGTAACCCCCAGGATGTTGATAGTGGGGAATTCAGTGATGGTTACACCATTGAATGTCAAGGGATGTTGGTTAGATGGGCTCTTATTGGTGATGGCCATAGCCTGGCATTTATGTGGCGTGAATGTCACTTGCCACTTGTCAGCCAAAGTCCGGATATTGTACAGATCTTGTTGCATGCGAACATGGACTGCTTCAATATCTGAGGAGTCGCAAATGGTGCTGAACATTGTGCAATCATCGATGAACTTCCCCACTTCTGACCTTATGATGGAGGGAAGGTCATTGATGAAGCAGCTGAAGATGGTTGGGCCTAGGACACTACCCTGAGGAACTCCTGCAGAGCTGTCCTGGAGCCGAGATGATTGACCGCCAAAAGCCACAACCATCTTCCTACGTGTCAGGTATGATTCCAACTACTGGAGAGTTTGCCCCCTGATACCCACTGATTCCAGTTTTGCTTGGGCTCCTTGATGCCACATTTCGGTCAAATGCAGCCTTGATATCAAGGGCTGTCAATCTCACCTCACCTCTGGAATTCAGCTCTTTTGTCCATGTTTGAACCAAGGCTGTAATGAGATCAGGAGTTGAGTGGCCCTGGCAGAATCCAAACTGGGCGTTGCTGAGCAGGTTATACAATCTTAAGTCATGTCTAACTTGTTCTGAAATGTTAAGGAGGTGGAACCACCAATAAAGAATGTTACCACAGCATTGTAAAAAAGAAAATCAGGGAGAGAAAACTAGACAGTGGAGACAAATGAGAAGATTTAGTGAACTAAGTGTAACAAAGCTGAGCAAAACAATTAAGCAATTTAACTTAACCAGGCTAAACTGGAGAAGTACGTGGTTAGAGTGGAGAATGCCTTTTACATTGTGCTTGAGACAACTTCCCAGTTCAGCATGACTTTAGGTCAACAAGGAAGAATTGCTTAATTTGGTTAGGGAAATGAAACAAGTCAAATCATTAATGACTAAGGATGAAAATTGCGAAAGTGACCATAGAACAGTTGGGTTCTGCATAAAAATAGAAATGGGATAATCTTCTCCAAAACTAGAAATATACAAATTAAATAGGAAAGGATAAAACAGGATTAAAAGAGATAAGTAGGATTTACCTCAATTTTTGGAGATAAAACAGTTAGTTAACACACCCTATCACCTGTAATTAATCGAGCAACAGGTTCAAAACACATGCCCACAAGATAATAGAATGCATCAAAGAACAAACTTCTGCAGATTGAGAGGTTGAAATTAAAATTTAAAGAATCAGGGAGGAATCCGTTATAAAACGGACATTGTCAGTACTGAGACAAAGACTAGGAATATGGAAAAAAAGTTGAGAAATAAAACATGACTCTGCTCATTCTGCTCTGGAGCCTTCCTAGGTTTGTGGCTTTTTGAATAAAAATGGGAAAATTCTGACGTTGTATTACCAGTTAAAACCAGCAGAGCGTTTTTGATCAAAACAAAAATCAAAAGGAATCAAAAAGTAGTCACTGATATGGGCAACCTGAGAATCTACAGAATGCTGTAAGTGATTCTGTATAAATTTTTAAAAAACGTGCTCAGACATGTTATGATACAAACAAAAACTGCAATTGCTTGAGAATTTCAGCAGGTCTGAATCAAATGTGAAGAGAAAAACAGAGTTAACAAATAAGTCTACTGACCTTTCTTCTGTGCCACAACAGTACTAGTTATTGTTTATACATTGAAGGAGGGAGGGTGGGAGATTAATTGTGTCCCAAAAATGAGCATTATATGTCAATTCTTAACATCATGGAACCTGATCACTCAAAAAGACTGTGCATGCAAAGTCAGAGGAAATTGCAGCTTTTTTTGGGTAAAGGGTGCTGGAGGAATAAACAGTTGAGGTACAGATGAACTGAACATAATTACATAGCACCTTTAACATGGTAAAACAGCCCAAGGTAATTCAATGTTGTACAAAAACAGATGTTAGGGCAGGTAGGAATTTTTGAAGGAGCATATCAAAAGGACAGCAGGAGGCGGACAGATGGAATGGTCAGAGAAGTAATTGCTCAGCTTGGTAACTGAAAACTATATAGTTAGTTAGTGGTGAAGCAGTTGAAGATTTGGAAAAAAACTTAATTAGGAGCACCACGGATGTTGCAATTGTAGGATGCAGGTTGTCATATAGGGAGAAGCAGTCATGGAGGGGTTTGAAAACAAGAGTTTTAAACAGGAAATTGGAAATTAATTAGGTTTATCGTCACACGTACTCACAAATTTACAAAGTCACCACTTACGGCACCATCTTAGGTGCAAAGGTACCTAGGTACAGAATATTAAGAATAAATTAGAAAAATAAAGAAATAAAAAGTTCAGCATTACAGTCCTTTGCACCATCTTAGTTACAAGGCGGTCAAGATGGTGAAATGGTTTATTCCATTTTGGATAAGAAGTTGAGTTTTTGACATAGCCCTGAACAGGGAATTATTTTTGTTACAGCAGTTGAGAAATTAAGTGAACTTTACATGCATTTTTATTTAAAAACATTTAAAGTAGATCATTCACGCATCAGTGAAGAATACATTTTCCTTCTGGCACAAAGGTATAACACCCACTTCACACGAGAGGATCAGAGTTAGTGCTCAAAATACAAAGGGACAGCGAGTCAATTCACCGACAGCAAGGTTGGCGGTGGGGGTTGCTGAGGGAAGAAACAGCCCATTCTTTTAAGTGGTTGGCACACATTCAATAAGGAACGTGTTTCTCCAATCACAGGCGGTTTCTCCCCTTGTGCCTACTGTTGGTAAACTCACTGGCTGTCAGCAAGCATGGGAGAGAAACAGCCCGTGGCTGAAGAAGCTGCGAGCAATTTGATGACAAGAGAGCAGGTCAAGAAGAGGATAGCAAGAGTAACAATGAGAAAGCTGTGGATGGCGAATATAGAAGGACACAGATGCAGGAAAAAGGAAGCAGTTTTACGCCAGTGTTTTTAAAAAAATGGAAACAGCCGGGAAAACATTTTTAAAAATAAATCACATGATACAGACAGACAAACAACCAAACAAACAAACTCCAATTTAAGGTTCAGGAGCACTATAAAGGAGGAAATTATAGTCAACAGTATTGTAATGGAACACTTCATCGTTACACTCAATCGGAGACTGAGATCTGAGGAGCAGCAGTTTAAAAAAGGGTAGTAATTGCCTAGTTAAAATATTTTAATCGAGCTTTGTGCATACACGATGCAAAGGTTTTAGCAAGCTGGTGAGGTCACAACTGAAGGTGGTGGCTGTATGTATTGAAGCAAGCCAGTTTTACGTTGACTTGTTACTAACTTGTGCCTGTTGTCTTGTGCCAATTCAAATACTGAGATGTCTAGGAAATCTGTGCTTTCCCACGCTTTACCTTGAATGGAAAGGCGATAATTGAGGACAGTGATGAAGTCTTCTAATTGTGTTCCTGTGCAAATCCAAGTACCAGATATCAACTGAAGTACCGGATGTTTTTCTACATGACTGCATCACTTAATAAATGAGTTAGGTGAGAACTAGAAACAAAAAGGATCTTAAAAGTCAAAATGGAGCCGTTGAACATTTCAAGTCCTTGAACAGAATTATTTTGACTTCTGGTCAAATTTAAACAAAAACCATTCAGCTGCAAGAACAAGTAGTTAGAATTAGCAAAGTAAGCAAATAGCAGACTCTAATGACTCTAAAAGATGCCGTGCAGACTTCCATTCAGCCTGGTAAAAATCAGCATCTTCCATTTTCATTTTTTAAAGCTTTTTCTTTAAGAAATAAAAATTTGACCTGCACTTCCTCCCACAAATACTGGCTCAACAGAAAACTTCCTCCATCTATGCACTGGCAGCATAAAATGGCACTAGGAGAAGACGACAATAGCACTGCAGATGGGAAATTACACCATGGACTTCAGGACAAAGACAGTCAACAGCCAATTTTAAACAACAGCAATTGAGTGGACTGCAACTATTTCCAGACTTAATTTACAACAGACATATTTCCACAGAAGACAGATGTGTGTTTTCTGTTCAAAAAAATGCTTGGAAATAAAAAAAGTCTAAAATCTAGAAAGCTAAAGAGAATTATATCCTTTGCCAGCAGGTGCTCACTTTCAATTCAGGACAAGTAAATTAAAAGTGCAAACTAACCTTACGAGTATCTACGGAAGCAAACACCTTTCCAAGTGGATTATGGTAACTGGTCCCATGAGCAGCATAAGCAAATTCTTCTAGCCATATAGGAACCTCTTGTTGTGCCTAGAGATGGAATTTCAATAATATTATTAACTAAAGACTTATACAAGAACATAATCAGACATAAATTTCTACTTCCTTTAATTTTTCACTCTTTCAAACCCGAGGGCACTCTATTTCTCAAAAAAGAGACAGACCAAAAGTAGTATAAATTTTAGATATCCAATTAACAGTGACAAGAATGCAACGTAGTAAATTTAATACTGAACAATATGAAAAATGCAACACAGGACTTGGGAAAACTTTATGGACAATTGTGTTACTTGAACTGCATCATCTTTTTCCAGAAATCTATTAAGTGCCAAACAAGTCTTGGTATTACTTACATCAGAGAGAACTTTTAGGAGAGCACGTGCTATTGGTAAATCTGTATTTGAATCAAAGAACGATATTGCTTTGCCAACGTTCCCACAACGGCCTGTACGTCCAATGCGATGGACATATTCATCGATAGTTGAAGGCAAATCAAAATTAATAACATGCTGTACATGTTCAATGTCCAGCCCTCGAGCTGCTACTGCTGTAGCCACCAAAACAGGACACTTCCCTGTACGGAAATCACCGAGTGCTATCTCTCTTTCTCTTTGCTCTCGATCCCTGGAAAAATTACAATGTACAAAAATAATTTGGTCGCAATGCTTTGCACAGCAAGAGTCACGTTTATTATGTGTAAAACACAGCATACCTAAATGAAAACACTATTCCCTGGCATTAGCTCAAAGGAAGTGCAACATTTCTTGAATTATTTTAGTATGTTCAAAGCACCAGTCAAACAAATTGGCTTCATGTGGAGGCCACCCATTCCTCAGACGACATGTCCATCCTGCAGTGCCACAACCATGCCACCCGAAGGTTGCAGGAACAGCAACTCATATTCCGCTTGGGAACCCTGCAGCCCAATGGTATCAATGTGGATTTCACAAGCTTCAAAATCTCCCCTCCTACTACCGCATCCCAAAACCAGTCCAGCTCGTCCCCGCCTCCCTAACCTGTTCTTCCTCCCACCTATCCCCTCCCCCCACCTCAAGTCGCACCCCCATCTCCTACCTACTAACCTCATCCCACCCCCTTGACCTGTCCGTCCTCCCTGGACTGACCTATCTCCTCCCTACCTCCCCACCTACACTCACCCTTACTGGCTCTATCCCCGCCTCTGTGACCTGTCTGTTTCCTCTCCACCTATCTTCTCCTCGATCCATCTTCTATCCGCCTCCCCCTCTCTCCCTATTTATTTCAGAACCCCCTTCCCCTCCCCCATGTCTGATGGAGGGTCTAGGCCCGAAACATCAGCCTTCCTGCTCGGCCTGCTGTGTTCGTCCAGCTCTACACCTTGTTATCTCTTGGCTTCATGTGGAATTTTATTTGTGGGATCTTCCACCAGTTCCCATACCCACACATTCAATGTTATTTCTACTTCCGAATATAATGAGACAAGAAAATGACATTAAAGTGGAAGATCAGTTATGACCTTCAGTGGCTCAAGGACTCATACAGACACTCCTGCACCTGTCACTTAAAATGAAACTTCAGCAATGTCCAGTGCTCATCAAAAACATGGTTCAATTGGTTAAAGCTTTAGTAAAACAATTCTCCTACTACCACCTCCCCCCCCCACCAAATTATATTTGCCAAAAATCATTCCCAAATGAAGGAATAGGAACAGAAACAGAAAATACTACAAATATCAGAGCAGGTTTGGCAGCATAAATCAAAAGGAGAGATAGAGTTAAACATTGATTTAGGTAAATAACAATTGTTACTCTCCCTCCAGATGTTGCTAAAACATTCCCGAAACACAGTTTTTATTTCTAATTTGCAGGATTTTTTTGTCCAAATAAGGGAACTTTGTTTTGTTGAAAAAGTTTGGCATAAATTCTCCAAACAATAACTAACCAGGGCAACTTTAAATTGTCAACACATTACTCATCACCTGTATCACAACTCTCAGGTACAACAATCTGATAATGATATGCCTCTGTCTTAATTACTGAAAGAAATGTGTGATATAAAATTATGAACTGGTCACTGGGGCAGCTTTTTTGAAATAGATTCCATCAAGATTGCAAAATTGTAATTTAGCATGCATACACTACACTTGTGGCTATGACATTTTCAAAGTCATATGGTTACCAAGACATTTATGGCTGCGAGCAAAAGTCAATCAGAAACTGATTTTCAAATTTCATGTCAATTCAAATTACAGGAGGTCCCGAGGTTACAAATAGTTACTGTCAGAGGATGTTCGTAAGTCAATTTGTGTGCAAGTCGGAACACAATACAGAACAGTATAAGATACCTGTTTTAAGTACTAGCAAAGATTCACATGTTGGATCCTTAAAAGTAAATAATAATATGGGATTTCATTTGCAAGCACAAGCATTTGTATGTCAGTCACAAGTCGGGGATCTCCTGTAATCCATAAAGCTATGGTCACTGGGTTAATTCACGTTGTATTTAGTCAAAAATGCTCTTTCCCCTCATCAACATGGATAGACAAGTCCTTTCATCCAAGCTGTTAATATAAATCTTGAATAGTTGAGATCCCAGCACTGATCCCCAAAGGTACTGTAGGCACATTTTGCAATGGCACATACAGAGATGGGGAATCAAGTTTGAGGATAAAACAAATTCTGCAAAAGGGATAGTGTTGGGTTAAGGGGGCCAAATGAAAAACAAATGGAGTACAATGTGGGGAAAAAGACAGTTTCCTGCATTGCAGGAAGAATAGAAAACCAGATTATTATTTACCTAGGGAGTAAGAGTAGAACGCTGCCATGCAGAGGAATTGGAATGTCTTTCGATGTTAATCACAATAGTTCGCATGCAAATACAAGTAATTGGAAAGGTATATGGAATGTTGTCCCTTATTTCGAGGGGGAAAATGAAGTATAAAAGTAGGGAACATCATAGAATCCCTACAGTGTTGGAAGAGGCCATTCAGCCCAATCAGTCCATACTGACATTCCAAAGAACATGCCACCCAGACAACTCCCCCCTACCCTATCCCTGTAACCCTCCTTGTAATCCTCCATTTGCTAAGGCTATCCACCTAATCTACACATTGCCTGGACACTATCGGCAATTTATCATGGACAATCCACCTAATCTGCACATCTTTGGACTGTGGGAGGAAACCAGAGCACCCAGAGGAAACCCACACAGACACAAAGAATATCTGTGTGGAGTCTGCACCGTCTCCCAAGGCTGGAATTGAACCCAGGCCCCTGGCGCTATGAGGCAGCAGTGTTAACGACCAAGCCACTGTGCTGCCCCAAAGATGTGTTTGTACATGAAATTGGGAGACCACACCTGGAGTATCATGTACAATTTTGAAACAAAAATAGAAATTGCTGAAAAAGCTCAGCAGGTCTAGCAGCATCTGTGAAGAGAAATCAGAACTTGAAGATTGAGGAAGGGTCACTTGACCCGAAACGTTAACTCTGATTTCTCTCCACAGATGTGGCCAGACATGCTGAGCTTTTCCAGTAATTCCTATTTTGTTTCTGATTTACAGCACCCACAGTTCTTTTGTATTTTTTTTTAAATGTATGCACAATTTTGTCTCCTTACTCAAGGTGGGACATTTTTGCATGGCAAATAATTCAGAGGAAGTTCGTTAGGCAGATTCCTGCAATGAAAAAGGGTTATTAAATGCAGAAGTGAAGCAGGTTGGGCCTATAGCCATTGGAGTTTGAAGGAAGTAGGATAAGTTGGGAAGACTGCTGTAAAGATGTGGGATCTTCAACTTTATTAAAAAGAGGAAGAAAGAGAGATTCCATCAAGCTCCCATAAAGCATTGGTTTGGCTCCAGCTCAAGTTTTTGGCCAATGTTCTTTCATAATTTTATGGGACATGGATGTTGCTGGTGCCCTTGCAAAGTTAGAAGAGAGCCACGTTCTTGAACTGCTACATTCCGTACTCCACTGTTTAGGAAGGATGGGTATTAAGGCCTGAGAGGCTGGAGACTTAACAGAAGTTACCATTTTCTTCAGTTACAGTTCCATAAAGCTGAAGAGAAGGGAGAAAAAAAGTGCCCTCACATCCCATCACATTTCTGTACTCTTCAAAGCTCATAGCCTCAAAGCTCAATGTACTCAATGTCCTATAACTCAATCTCCTCAACTCAATTTCCACCTTAATTACAGAAATACTATAAATCATAGAGTCAGAGTCTAGTCACGTAAGTCTACAGCACAGAAAGAGGCCCCCCAAACAGGCCTGTGCCAACATATGATGCCTTTCTAAACTAAAGCCTTTTGCCTCTACACAGACCATATCCCTCTATTTATGTATTTGTCAAGATGCCTCTTAAAAGTTATTATATCTACTTCTACCACATCATCCGGTAGCACACTCCAGCACTTAACACTCTCTTTAAAGTAGATGAAAGGCAAGTTTTTTTTAAAAACTTTTCCACCTTTTACCTATTTCCCCAAGTCATTGACAATTCTACCTTGGGAAAAACTGTCCAACTATCCGTCCTATTTTAGAGGCTTCTTTCAGATCATGTCCCCAGTAAGTATCCTCTGCTCCCAGTCTATCCAATCTCTCTTCACAGCTAAAACGCTCCAGCCCAGGCAACATCCTGATAAATCTCCTCTACACAGTACTATCCAACCCCTCAATGTCGATTCCAGAACTGCACACAGTATTCCAGCTGCGGCCTAAACAACTCGTTTGGTTTTAAAAATAATTCCAGCCTAACCTCACTGCTCTTAAACTCCATGCCTTGGGTAATAATTTGCCTTCTTAACCACTTCTACTTGCCCTCATACCTTAAGGGTACATGCACACCAAAAAGTCTCTTGATCCTCCATCTATTATTCCAGGGTCCTTCCATTCATGTATTTGCTTACCTTGTTTGTGCTGCCCAAGTCCCAATCACTTTCACTGAAAAACATTTGAAATCCCCACTTTTTCCTGCAATGCACAGGACAGTTGGTCATGCCAACTCTTCCATCCACAGAGGAACCCATCTGAGCATAGCCAAACTACCAAGTACCAAATGATAGTTTTGTTTACCTGCTTCAGTCACCTCTAGAGATTACAAAGGATTGGTCTTCAACATTCCCCACCCCGACCCCAACATCAAATTTCCATTAATGGATGTCTATTTAAAATAGTGCAGCTACAAGGAATAAGAATGTATGCAAAACCAAAATGAGATCCAATGGTTTAATGGTTTGTAACTCAGGAAGCTACAAGATCTCCAGGCTCTTAAGGGCTGTGAAGGGGACAGAGATCGGTACTATTAATAGAAGTACAGTTGATCATATTTGTCTTGAATAGCAATTAAATTGTTTCTCTAATATCAAAATTCTGGATCCAAAATTTCCTTCAGTGCAAAAATAAAAAAAACAAAATACAAAACACCAGACCTGCCTTCACACTGGGAATGCCACACAACAAGGTTGAGGGTATCAATACCACATTAAATGGAACTGATGAAAATCAAATATGGGAGCACAAAACAACTGAACATCCATGGCTCAAGGGCCATCAGCAGAACTGCATTTGATCACTGTCTTTCACTCTGCCATTACTACCAAAGCAGGGGATCAAGGCTGGTTTGAGACAGTGCAGGAGGGTCTGCCAAAAGCAGTAGCACTGAGTGCATGCTAAACGGCTAACTCAGTAGATTTGAGCATTAGCAATACCATAACGAACAGATTAAATCCAAACTCTGTAGTCTCATCATATCCAGTCATAAACCGTGGTGAATAAGAGGGACCTTGACAGAAAAGATCCTTCTCACTGTTGGGTGAGCCCAGCATAATGCAAAAGATCAGGATGAAGCATTATCAATAATTTTTGCCAGAAGTGACAAGATTGGGTGATTGATCCTGGTCTCATCTGGGAGGTTCTCAGCCTCACAGGTGAGTCTTCAGTCAATGCAAGAAAGCCAAGTGGAGATCTGATAGAAATTTTCAAAATCATGAGTAGACTGGATACAGAATAGCTAGGAGACATTGTTTCCACTCCTAAAAGAAACAAGAACAAGAGGACATAGGTTTAAAGTGATGTGCAAAAGAAGCAGGGATGCAGTCAGGAAAAGATAAATTTCACTCAGCAAATAAAGGTATAGAGTGCGCTAACTATCTGAAAGTGTAGTGGCTGCAAGTTCAAATGAGGGCATTACTTTTATCCAAATGTGCAAGGGTCTGGGGAAAAAGGAGTTTGGAACAAGTCAATGATGCTCATTTAACGAACCAGTAGAGGCACAGTGGATGAAATGACCTAATTCAGCACCATAACACTTGCAATTCTGTGAATTCAATTCTTTCTACACTCCAAAGAACAGCTGAAGGCCCAGGAAACTGCTATGGCTCCTGACAACATCCCAATAAAAGTACTGCTCCAGAACTAGACACACCCCCGGCCAAGCTGTTCCGAAACTACTACACTATTGGCATCCAACTAAATGTGCAAAATTTGCTAGGTACATCCTGTCCACAAAAAAAAAAGTACAAATAAATTCAGCCAATTACTCCTCCAATCTATTTTCTTTATTAAAAATAATTTGCTCATGTGTGGTGGTCATTGCTGGCAAAAGGAGTATTTATTGCCCATCCTTAATTAAACAGCACAGTTTGTTATGTCATTCCAGTGGACAATAAAGTGCCAACCATATTGCCCGAGTCTGGAGTCAAACGTCGGCCTGACCAGATAGGCCAAAAACTTTTCTTACCTAAAAAGTATTAGTGAACCAGATGATATTTTCCAAAAAGAAGTTGCATGCCCACTGTGGCTTTTAATTCCAGATGTATCAACTGAATTACAAACTCACCAGCTGCAAAGTGGTATTTTTTTTTTTTTACAGAAGTTGCTGGAAAAGCTTGGCAAGTCTGGCAGCATCAGTGAAGAGAAAAATCAGAGTTAACGTTTCGGGTCCGGTGACTCTTCCTCAGAACCAGACCAGAAGTGTTAACTCTGATTTTTCTCTTCACCAATGCTGCCGGACCTGCTGAGCTTTTCCAGCAACTTGTTTTTGTTCCTGATTTACAGCATCTGCAGTTCTTTCGGTTTTTATTACGGCGTTATTTGAACCTGCACCCCATAGCATTTACCACAGCCTTTAGGTATCTAATCCAGTGAACTACCACCATCTCACTCCTCTGATGGTCTAGTCTTAAATCATCAGCGAAGCGATGGAAGATGTTGTAGTTATGGAAGTTGTTGAAGGAGGCTTGGTACACACTTGTGCACACGGGCTGGAGGGACTGAAATGTTTGAAGTGGCAAAAAGTACGTTAACCAAGTACCCTGGATGGTACGGAGCTGCATTCATTCAGAAGTGGAATGCATTCCATGGTGGTCACTATTTCTGCAAAAGAAACTGAAATGTCTTGGCTCCCTCTTCCCAAATCTTGTCAGAAACAAAAAAGAAAATCCTCACAAACAACAAAACTATCGCAGGAGAGTTCATTTCACCCAGATTGTTATTGCATCAAAGTTAAGCTTTTAAAACTGAAATGCAGTTTAAGCTTTAAAAGTACCGAAGTATGTTAAAATTCATAAAAACAAGGAAGCAGATACTTTAGTTCAGACATTACTTTTATATGCAACAAATAGTAGTCAAAAATGAGTACATTTTGGCAATAGGCACAAAAAACACGCATCTTCCTTACAAAAAAAAGGACCAAAATCATTGAGCTGATTTGATCAGTGCTTTGTATAATTGTGTTAAGGCTTTCCCATTTTTACATCCTATTCCATTTGAGACAAATGCCAACATGTCATTGCTCTCTGTCACCTGAACTTGGATGCTCGTTTGTTGCGATTTATGCACAAGGACCTCCAAATCCCTCCACGCTGCAGCATTCTGCAGTATTTCCCCATTTAACGAACATTCAGCTCCTTTATTCTTCCTGCCAAAGTGCATAACCTCACTTTTTTGCCTTGTTATATTGTATTAAATTTCTGGTTGTCTACATCCCTCTATAGACTTAGTCAGTCTGACCACTTGCATTCCCAACTACATTTTTTGGTGTAACAAGGTGTAGAGCTGGATGAACACAGCAGGCCAAGCAGCACCAGAGGAGCAGGAAACTGCAAGCTACATATGTGCGCACAGTGAAACCGAAGGTACTGTGTATGTTACCTTTCAGCTACGAAGACGCAGTTCGCTCAAATGTAAAGACACTCACACTTCAATGAACAAGTCATACACAATGAAAAGAATGTGAGGTCTCCACTCAAGTACCTTTTAAAAAAGGTTTAATATGCTCTTTCAGGATCAAGATTAAAAACCAAAAGAACTGCGGATGCTGGAAATCAGAAATAAAAACAGAAATTGCCAGAAAAGCTCTGCAGGTTTTCTACGGAGAGAAATCAGAGCGTTAACATTTCAGGTCCAGTGACCGTTCTTCAGAACTGAAGATTTTTGATCAGGATTATCTTTGTTTGATTGTTATACAAAGTCATATGTGAATTGTTTTTTTAGCTGTATTAACTTTGTGCAATATGCAGTCACATTTTCATAGACAATTCACAGCTGCACAATCTAGATGTTGGTATTTAAGCCCAACCAATGCAGGTATTGTAATGAAGTCCTTGTTTACCTAAATTTTCACAGGTGATTTTAATCGTTACTTTCAGCAGCTGAACCAAAACAGATCTCCAAAAGAAAGAACACAGACAGTGCCCTCTAGTGGTGCAGTGGTAGTTTCCTCACCCCTGGTCTAGGAGACCCAGGGTGAAGTCTGACCTGCTCCAAAGATGTGTAATAACATCTCTAAACAGGTGAATTAGAAAAATAGGTTTTAAAAAAGGTTAACCAATACACTCCATGCACCAATTTAAAAGCTTCCATTTCTCACATTTTATGATTTCCTGCTTTATTTAAAAAAAGAACACAAACAATGGTCACCCAATCAAAGGTGATCAGGATTCTAGATGAGACTGGGCAATAAATCTGAAGAGTAATTAACAATTAATACAAGTTAACAATTAAACTTACCCATGAATACTCGTCGTTGGGAACTTTTCTTGACAAAGAAAAGTAGCAAGAAAGTCAGCCTTTCGTTTGGTATCGACAAAAACCATAGTTCTTTCAATACCTGTAAAACACTTGTAATGAACCACTCTTACATACCAAAAGAGTAACAAACATCTAGTGACAACAAAAATTTTCCCATATCAAATGAAGCAGCTGGAGTCTGTGGACCGAATTATACAAGGCACTGGATTCTCTGCTTCAACCAACCCTTCCTATCAGAGAGGGCTTACAGTTGGCTGTTAATGGGCTCCTAGATTAGGAAAGTTCTCCTCAGAAGGGTGTTGGTCTCATGTTGGGAAATAGCTCTCCAACTCCGTTGCAGTATCACGTTGGATCTTCTAGGAACAGTTTGGACTGAAGTGCATACCAAATTGGCCGGCAATACAGAGATGGTGAGGACAGGTTTTGATAGGTGATGCTGGATAGCAAGATGTAGGGTGAAATGAGCCTGATGCGTCCAGTGGTTCTATTAAGGAGACCCCCAACCTGCCTCTCCCTTCTCCCCAACCCGACTGGCATTGGCAGTGAACAGTGGTGGGATAGAGGGCAATGGAAGACTGAGGCCCTCATGTGAACACGGAATTGCCCTCTTCGCCCACCAGTGAAGAACTCACTGAACATTACTCATACCTCTTCTATAATGGGGAAGGTGCCACCAGAATGACACCTGCTGAATTTCAAAAGTCCTCCCGCCTTTAATTGCTTTCACAGGAGTGCTTGAAATTCAGTCCCAAGTTCATCATTGTAGGTTGATTTACAGTACAATACCTAACATAGTTAGAGTGACAACAACAAAACAATCTTCAAGTACAATTTCTATTTTCAGTCTTTGAGTTTGAATGCCAATATAGCAACTGCTCCTATTTCTCTGGATATGGAGCTTGAGTTACTGCACTTATGCAAAGAACTGTGTACCTTTGCCAACTACTAAATTTCTACTTTTGTCTTGTGAACAAGTTGGCTCTGCAGGGATATGGTCACACCTGCACGCTCTTGTACAAGCTAATTTTGTCAAGTGTAAAACATTTCAATAAATTCATAACATTTCTTGTTAACAAAAAGTAGTTTTCTATTGTAAACGTGTTCACATACATTTAGGCAGAGATTTATTTTTCCTTGACAGAAGTAAAATCACTCTCACCTATGTTAGTGAGGATTTCAACCAATTTGTTCCTTTTGGAATACTGGTCAACTTGCAGTATGGATTGCTGGACATCACCACAGGCACCTCCCACTTGACCAACAGCAAGGAACAAATAATCGCTTTTCATGAAGTCTGCAGCCAACCTTCAAGAACAAAGTTAAGGAACATGAAAACTAAATGTTTAGACTGGTTTGAATTTCACGATTTACAACTAAGTGATGGGATTATAATATCAAGTTTCAAAACTCTTATTTTAGCCACGAGACAATGTAAGTAAGCTTACAGGAGTGGACAGACTACGCTCAAGAGTATAAAGAATAAAAATGCAAAGGTGGTGTTCAAATTTTATCAGGTTTTGACAGGCCACATGAGAACCTGTTTACACTGGCACAAAAAAAGGGTGCTAGTTACCAGAGGTTAAAATGTTAGTTAAAAAAGACGGCAAAAGAGTAGGGGGGAACATTGTTAAAAAGAAATGTAAACAAATTTTGTTAATCTGGAAAGGCAGTGGAAACAGGTTCATGTCTAACTATCTAAACAGAACTGGATATACTCAAAGGAAATATTTGTAGGGCTATTGTGAAAATATAATTAGATAGTGCTTTCAAAAAGCTAACACAGACACTATAGACTGATGCTATATGACTATGATCAATCTGTTACAAGTCAGACAGACGATCAAAATACATGTTTACTCCTTGTTCAGTGTTGCTTTCAGATACTTCCACACTTAAGAACACGAGGCTGTGCAAGAAGAAATCTGCAGTATGATGCACAATAAACCAGTTTTCTCTCAATTCATACAATAGAGTTAGCAGCTTCAAATCTCAAACAGACAAATCCTGACATCTCAAGTTGCAATCATGAGTCAGGTTTGAATGAATTTAGATTAATCCATTTAGTTTGACTGACACTAAAAACAGATGGTGTTTTTACTGCAGGCAAGTTAGAGGCTCACTTAAATCTGTTCTAAAATATTAAGTCCAGAAGTTGTTCTTGGCATTATTCCAAATTGACATCCCCATTGAAATATTACTTAAGCAGGAAGAAACTCAAATTTTGGTTTCCATCTGCCTGCTTAGCAGAGCAGTGAATAAGGAAGTGGGTAAAAAGGTCCCAGTTATCTAATCTTCAGGCACTCTCCAAGTATTGTTGGTTATGCAATATCTCTCACGCTTTAGCTGCCTAATACAAAATGTCACCACTTCACATCAACAAGTCCAAATTAAATAATTTGACCACCCTGATGTATCAACTCACAAAATTATCTTTTGGAATAAAGTGCCAGTCTTCATCATTTAATTACCAAAAATCAAACTAACTGAAGCCACTCCAAGCAAAGCACTGGAAGGCACTAGTTTGCATTTGGTTTAGAAGAATCAAGAATTGATTTTTTTTAAAAACTCCCTAAATTAAGATCCAGAGATCAGGAAGCTTTTAGGGGAGTCTGCAGAAGACCTGCCTGAGGCCAGGTACAAGATCAGTTTCTCCTGAAGGAGCTTGTTAAACAGAGTTAGGAAATAGTTTACCTCAGCGCAAGAGTTTCTGTCCCAAATTTCCAGACCAGAAGTGTTTGGTTAGAAACCTGGATGGGTCGTTTGAAGCTAAGGAAGTTTAAATTTAGTTGTGTGAACAATCAAAGAAAAGACGATCAAGTTCTCAAGATTGATACAGTTAAGTCAAACCTATAGAGGTGATAAAAAGGGAATGCTCTTGGTAGTTGACTACTGGAAAATGATCGTATTGGGATAGGTGGGATTTTGTTCTGCTGTGTTTTGAAATCTTCCAAATTATGTCATATGTAAAATGCCTGATTTATTCCATTTTATCTTCACTTCTCCTGTGTAGTAAGCTGTTTTATTGTTAAAACCAAATCTACAGTATTGCATTATGTTAAAATGAATGTCTGCCACAATAAGTTTTTTTAATCTAAGTGTTCTACCAAATCAGACTTCAGTCTGGGATCTGAACTGTCCAGTAGTAATGTCAGTTGAAATCATAACAGTAAGACAAACCACTGCAATAGTTTCCACAGTTTTTAAATCACATAATTAGAAGGAAATTGCTGCTCTAGAAAAATCATAATTTCAAAGATCAGGAAGTAAATAAGGTTAAGAAAGCTGCATGTGGAAAAATTAAAACTGAAATACTACAAATAAATTTAAAAATGACAAAACGAGAAAGCAGTAACCCAAGTGTCACCATCTTCAAGAAAGGCGGCAGGTTCAACTGGAAATTACTGAGCAGTTTTCCATTTGTCAACCACGGGTAAAGGACTTTGTGAGAATACTCTTCAATCGCCTCCTCCTAAATCTCAATGCAGTTTCTACCCATCAACAGGTAAAATGGACATGATTTTCACAGCATGAGAAATCCAAGGAAGTGTTAGTACAAGAGGACAGCACTAATCTCTGCACATGGCCGTTGATCTCACAAAGATTTTAACTGTTAACCATGAGGGATCGTAAAATAGCCTTAAATTTTACTGCCCACAGGAATTCAACACCATTGTCCACCTGGTACATGACATCAAGCCATGAACCTCACCAATAGATTCAGAGTCAATAAGATTCCAAACTGCCGTCAAGCAGGGCTTTGGTATAGCACCAACACTCTTCTCCAGCTTCCTCACGGCAACACTTCACTCCATCTCCATAAAGCTCCTTGGCAGAGTGGAGCTAATGCATAGGACAAGCAGGAAAGTGTTCAACCTTTGACATCTCCAGACCAGAACCAAGACCACCCCAACATCCGTCATCGAGTTGCAGTGTACAGACTACATCTGTATGTGCATGCACTCAGAGGATGAGCTACAAATCAATGACTTATTCACTGTGGTATACAAAAGAACAGGCCTCTGATTAAGCATCTGGTAAATAAGAAAGAAAGTTCTCTACCAGGCCATTCCTGCCACACAACAACGCTCCCAGCCAAAGTCTACACAAATCCATAGACAATACAAGTCAGTTCCCATACCTCCTCCAGTGAAAACAGACATTGATGACTAAATTCAACAGATTTGAATATGCTTGTGCAGCCTTCAGATGCATAATGTTTGCTGTCTAATACCTCAAACCCAGCACCAAGACCATGATCTGCAGAGCAGCCATGGTTCTGACCCTCCTGTATGCATCAGAAACATTGACCACATACTGCAGATATCTTACATCCCTGGATAATTATCAGCAGTGCTGCCTTCACAAAATCCTACAAATCCACTGGCAGGATAAGCGTACCAACAAGAGCATCCTCTCCCAGGCCAACAACTTCAGTATCAAGCCAGTGGTCACACGTGACCTGTTGTGATGGGCAGGCCAGACTGTCCACAGACTGAACAGATGATTTCCTAAACAAGTACTCTACTCCCAACTCCACAATGGCAAGCAATAACTAGATGGGCTGAGGAAATGCTACAATGATACCCCGAAAGTGTCCCTAAACAAATGCAACATCCCCACTAACATGAAAATTGTTTGCCCTAGATTACAAGCTAAAGAAACATCCATAAAGGTACCAACCAGTTCAACGGTCACAAGTGGAGCACGTGGAGGTATGCTCGAGCAGAGAAGGGCAGAAGAGGAGACACTTCATCTGACGAAGGAGCAGCACTCCAAAAGCTTGTGATTTTAAACAAACCTGTTGGACTGTAACCTGATGTTGTGCGACTTCTGACTCTGTCCAAGCAGAAGAGAACGCAGAATCTAGAGCATCCCACCGCATGCCTCAAAACATGCCCACATGTGGCAGAGCCTGTAGCTCCAGGAATGGATTATTCAGCCACTGCAGAACACACCCCTGGCATGGGAGCAAGTCATCCTCAACCCTTAAGATTGCCAAGAACACTGCTACGAAGAATATAATTCAAGAAGCTTCATTATATTTTCATGTACTTCTGCAAGCAGCTAAACCCCAACCAGAAATTTGCTTTTTTTTTTAAAAAAAAATTCAACTATTAAGCACATTTTCTACATTTGGAAAGGGGTTAACATAAGTTCCTATGAAACATGCTGTTGGCAGAAAGACATCAGCTCAGAAAGACTTAGCTAGGGAATGCCTGAATGGCATGGAAGTTCCTATCTCCCATACATTGGATGTCTTAAATAAATTAATCACCATGAGCTAATATATTAACAATGGCAAAGGTGTGAATTGATCATCTTCTCTTTTGAAGAACAATCAACGGTTATTTGAAAATTAACACAAGTCCTTCTTCTCAGAATTCCTTCTATAATGAAGCTCTTTTAATTTACAAAGTTAAAAAGTTCTGTATGGCATCCCTTTTAGAAAAAAGGGACCTGATTTATTGGAACGTAGGAAAAAACCCAGTAAGAATTTTTTAGTTTTTAAAAGTTTTAATGCTTTTCACTTCCACTGTGGAACCAACATCTAGCAATAAGTAAAAAAAAAAGTTCTGTTTTACCACTGCAGCAATGTTAAATGATCAAATTTGAATGGTCATTGACCCAAAGTACAGTCACAACAGGCTGGTTTCAGGTCATCTTGTCCCGTTGCCTCAAAGTTGTAGGTTCCATCACCAACTCCATGCAGTCTTCTACTTTAAAAGTGAAATATTTGAAATCATAAACTCAACCATCAACTTTATTCTAGTAGCCCAAGAGGGAAAAGAAGTCCTTTTTTGTTGGGTGGGAGGGGAGTAGTAGAAAGCCCTCCTGGAACAAAAGCAAAATAAAACAGCTACTAGTAATCTGAAATATAACCAGAAAATGCTGCAAGTACTTAGCAAGCTGACAGGATCTTCAGTGACAGGAGAGTTAATGTTTCGGGAATGTAACATTTGATCATAATAATCTGGTCCAAGATGTTGCCTGATCTGTTGAGTCCTTCGATAATCCTTCTGGAACCTCCCTCATACACTAGAAGCAAGTCAAGTGGAGCGGCATGGTTCATGTGGAGTTTGTACTTTCTCCCTGTGTCTTCATGGGTTTCCACCCACAGTCCAAAGATGAGCAGGTTATGTGGATTGGCCATGCTAAATTGCCCAGTGTCCAGGGATGTGTGCATTAGGTGGACTAGCCATGGGAAATGCAGGGTCACAGGGATAGGGTAGATGGGCAAGTCTGGGTGGGATGTTCTTTGGGGCGTCAGTGTGCCAAATGGCCTGTTTCCACACTGTAGGGTGTCTATGGAATCTTCACTTTTTTCTTTTTATCTCTATACTGTTATTATTTCCATACCAACTATCTTGCTCAAAACACCATTCATCTACAAAACAATGTGTATGTAAATCAGCAAAATTCAGTTACCTTAATTTTTGAGCACAGGCTTCAGTTTCTGATCTGCCCATTCAAAAGGGAGTGGGCAAGACAACATTGGTTTACCCACCTCTTCTGAATGATTTCAAACCAAGAAACCACTTCCAGTGTTGCTTTCCGCTTTTCAGCATAGCTGTCACAGCAGGCTCTCTCTCAAAGCAAGGTGGAAAAACAGATTGTTACAGCGGGAATTCCAGAAAAATCAAGACTCACGATAGATCCAGGCTCTCAGAAACAATGCTGGAGGAATCAGTGGTGCAGCTGAGCAGGAGGAGATGCTAGGATCCAATCGGTAGCTTGGAGACTTCTAAGCAACGCCCTCAAAGACCGGGAATGGGCAGACTAAATGGTCAACACAGAAGGTGTCCATCACAAACCATGGTAACAATACCACAAGGAGGTGATGGGCTGTATATGGTCAATATTGGCAAATACATTTCTTCCCCCTTCATTGGATGTGGGAGCCAACAGCTAGGTCAGAATTTACTGCCCATTTCAACTGCCCTCTAGAAAGTAGAGGTGAGTTGCCTTCTTGAACCATAAGTACACTCACGTGCTGTTAAGAAGGGATTTCTATGATTTTGACCCAATGACAGTGAAGGAAAGCCGATAGTCAGGACTGTGTGGCTAAGAGGGAAGTTTGCAGTTGGTGTTCCCATGCATTTATTGCCCATGTCCTTCTAGGTGGCAGAGGTCACAGGTTTAGAATTTGCTGTTGTTCTCAGTGAGTCGCCGCAGTGCACCTTGTAAGTTATACACATTGAAGGCATTGGTGGTAGAGGGAGTGAACAGAATGCTAATCAAGCAGGCCACTTGAATAAAACAAAAAGTTGCTGATGCTGAAGATTTGAAGAAACAATTCTGAAGTCGTCACCAGACTCAAAACTCAAAATTCAACCTGCTTTCTTGCCAGAGATGCTGCAAGACCTGCTGAATTTCTCTAATTTCATTTTTGAAGCAGGTTCCTTCGTCCTGGTTGATGTCAATCTTCAAATCTTTTTAAACTTGCATCCATCCAGGAAAATGGGATTTCATCACACTCCTGATTTGTGCCACACTTATGGAGGACAAACATTAGTGGGTTACTACCTGCAGAATTCCCAGTCTCTCTGACCTACTCTCGCTGCCACAGAACTTAGAATTGGACCAGTCATGTGTCTGACCTAATGCCATAGCATGTCATGGGTAGATGGTCATTGCCAGAGATGAAATATACTTGCCACTTAACAGCTAAACACTGCCTGCCATCCAGGACCTGCTGCATATAAACACATGCTGCTTCAGTGTATTCACACTGCAATTTATCCTTACAACAACCTCTGCGCTCAATGCACCTCACACAGCAGCAGTCCCAGGTCCCCAGTAATCATGGCAAATAGTCAGATACTTCAATCACCACTACATATTTAAATTCTACCATCCTCACATCCACTTCTTAACATCTCAGCTGTTCGTGCATGGCGCATATCACCCAGCACAGCACTACACAATCACTTATATTCTCAACGCTCTTTATTTAAGGATGAGGTAGCATAGATAATAGAAGCAAGTCACAATGGAACTGGCAGAAACAGAAGTGCTTTCATTTTGAAGCCCTAAATGGCTCCAACCATCATGATGCAAACCATGAGATAGCCTATCACGTACAACCTCAGCAAAAGCAATGAGGTAATGGCATCCCCCTGCCTTGTGCCTCTTCTGGACTCCCAAATGATCTTAATTTCATTATACAGGATGGTAAAACAAGTTGCTGGTGCTATGACCTCCAACTTCTTGCTTTACACTCGACCCACTCCACCTCCTCTGAGATTCTGCTTTCTGACAAAGAACAGCCATCTGACCCACAACAAAAGCTCAAGGAGGAAGACAGCGAGCTGAAGGACAGCAATAACGAAGACAGATCACTTGATCCGTCACCCTCAGCCACCTTGGCAGATACTACAAAATTTGGCTCATGTTAAGTCATCCAGATGCAAAGTGAACTCAACCGAGCCAGAGGTTGATGGCTCATTTGTCAGCTCTGTAGAGAGCTCAGATGAAGACAATGAGATTGAGTATAAAAACTGCAGAAGGGTCAGTTCTGAGGAAGAGTCACTCAACCTGAAGCGTTAACTGATTTCAATCCACAGATGCTGCAAGAACTGCTGAACTTTTCCAACAATTTCTATTTTTGTCCAAACATTTTGTCCATAATCAGGTTATTTGTCCCTTTAAGTGACACGACAACAGAGTTATTTACAACTTTCATTCAAAGATGGACAATGCAGGTTTGCCAGGACATGATAGCCAGTTGGATTGAAAAATGTTAGGAGTTTTTTCCATGAGTTTGGGGGCATGCAGGGCTGCGTACAGCTGTCTATCCGCACAAAAATCAAGATTAATTCTGCACATTGGTAGAGGAAGAACAAACTACATAACTGAATTTTCTGCCCATGAAGCACAGTGGGATGCTCACATGATATAATAATTAGAGAAAACTAAAGAAGTCAAATAAATTAAGGCCCAATATTTTCCATGCTATACTTCATATTTTCTTCAAGCAAGAATTGGCTCTTTTGGATCCTGATTATTGGTATTAAGTTTTTGAACTTTTATGATAAAACAAAGTTGTCACTGAGAGATCTATACTACACAAGAACACTATATAAAGTCAAACATTCATAGCAGCATGACACAGCTATTTCACCCGTGTCACTACTGGTTTTCCAATTAGTTACACGACAGCACTACAAATGGAACTTCACCACTGAATCAGATTTCATAACTTTTTGGGAAATCCAAATCATAACCACTTGCTGCATCCTGATTCTGCAACTGAATTTAACAAGTGAACCAGCAACACAAACATGTACAATTAACATAAGTACAACTGTGACCATTATTTTCTCAATCAATATTGTACTAAAATATCAGAATACAATATATTCATTACTTTTAAATTTTGCAATCTGTAAACTATCTACTCCATTCTATCAATTATGCAAACTCAGTTCAAAAATGCCCACACAGTTGCTGAAGACTGATAGATTTGAGTAATTGACTACTTGCAGTTTGCTTTTGAACATAATAAATATAACTGAAAATTAAAATGTTGAAGTTTTGTTTATTCATTCGTGGGATGAAGGCGAAGCTGGCTAGGCAGCATTTATTGCCCATCCTGTCAACTAGAGTCAACTATATTGCTGTGGGTCTGGAGTCACATGTAGGCCAGACCAGGTAAGGATGGCAGTTTCTTTCCCAAAAGGACATTAGTGAACCAAATGGGTTTTTCTGACAATGGACAAATCATGAGATTCTTAATTCCCGATATTTTATTGACTTCGAATTCCACCATCTGCCGTGGCGGGATTCGAACCCAGGTCCCTAGAATGTAATGTGGGTCTCTGGACTAACAGTCCAGCAATAATACTGCTCGGCCATTGCCTCCTCAATTTGTTTGAATAGAAATTTGTATCTTCTATCAGGTTTGAGGCAGATAGATACAACTAAGATCCAAGTTTGTACAGATCCTAAGCATGAACAAATCTTAAAATTATAAGCAAGATCCTATGTACATTTCCATACATGCTGGCATTTGAAATTACCTCTGAATCTCTTCAGGAAAGGTGGCACTGAACATCAAAGTCTGGCGGTTTTGTTTAGGTGGCATATTAAATGAGTTGACTAGTTTTCGCATGTCTGGTTCAAATCCCATATCGAGCATACGGTCTGCTTCATCTAATACCAAGTACTGCACCTTACCAAGGCCAACCTAAAAATCATTTTTGAAAAAAAGTGATCAATTTTAATAGTAGTTGCATCACAATTGTAACATTGACCTCAAAATTTTGGGCTACAATTAACTGTTTGGACCACAAGCAGTGAGGGGAATTACAGGCACAGAATTAAACAGACATTTAGTTGTAAAGGCTTTGGGATACATCTTGGCCTTTACAGACTGGGTGATCATCTGGCAAAAAATCAGGCTGCCCGACATTTACAGAAGATCCACGATTTTCAGTTTGTTCTACATCAATCAACAATAGGCAGGTTCTACTGAAGTCAGACATTCTGAATTGGCTATGAACTATGGCTAGGAAACCACAATTCCTTCAGGGAAATTTAAGGCTGGAAGATCTAGATTCTTCAAGAAATTCTGAAGTTGTCCATTAATGTGCAATGTATTAATATCCAAATTGGGTTAACATCTTGAGATTATTAAAATCACAATGTTGGCAAAACACCTGTGCCCTATTAACAATAATTTTAAATCATAGTTTTTTAAGGATGCAATGAGCAACAGCTTACTTTTCCTTTAGAAATAATATCCAGAAGTCTTCCTGGTGTGCCACACAATATATTACAACCTTGTAAAACCTGACGAATTTGATGGCCAGTGCTCGTTCCTCCATAGACCACAACAGGTCTCACAACAGTCCTGTAACATAGCAAAACACACCATGTGCAAAATTAGCTTATGTTGGTAAAATGTTAGGTAACTTTAACACCACACAAACAAGGATTTTTATAAAGTAAGATGAGATTTTGTTGTACCAGGTGTTTGAAATCTTTTAAACCGTTTTGTGTGTAGATAGCGGAGTATTTTTCAGTTTACTTTTCGCTCGTTGTAATAAATTTCTGTTTCACTGTTACAACCACATCTGGAACCTGGTGTGTTTATAAGTCACTGAAAGACCATGATGTTGAATTGAAAAAAAGAATCAATCAAGAATGAAATCTGGGGTGGGACTTTGGCTGACAGGAAGATCAGCTGGAATCATAGCACTTTTTTTTTTTGAGTGCTCCGTTCTGCTAGGAAGCACGCACAATTAAAATGTTAACCTTCAGCTTCAAAATGTATATTCTTGGCAGAATGCAAGCCCTCGTTAAATACGTATGAGTTTTCTTTACTTACCCATAAGAAAACTTCCGAGCTTCCAGATATATCTGATTAATCAGCTCACGTGTTGGAGCTACAATAACAACTTCTGGTTCTTGTAGCTCCTTGAATCGACTGGATGCTGCATTTCCCCTCAGGAGCATTTCTATTATGGGCAACAGGAATGCAGCCTATAACAATGACAAAAAAAAAGTCACTGACTGATCATAACTAGCACAAAAAAGTTTCAACCTTACAAAATTCTTAAAAGGGCTAGGCAGAGTGCACCCAAAAAGGAGGTTTCCTTGGCTGAGGAGTCTACAATTAATGGACACAGTCTCAGAATATAGGCAAACCACGCAGACGAAGAGGAATTTCTTAATTCAGAGGACGCCTTAGGAATTATTTACCCCTGTTTTATGGAAGTTCAGGCATGGAGTATGCTCAGGGTGGAGATTAATACAGTTTTAGATATTAAGGAACATTGGGATAGCACAGAAAAATGAGGTCAAGTCAGGTGATTTGCCACCATTTCAAATAACAACAGTTTTGTAGGTCTCAATGGCTATTTTCCTGCTCCAAATGTTTCTATGTTAACCCATCCCTGCAACTCAAATGAAAAAAAGCTCTCAAGAATTTATCCAGTGAGCTAGTCTGACTGTGCACATGCATTAATCAAGGACATTAGTCATGGGATAACACACAAAACAGATGATCTGATTAAAGACCAAGGACAGAAATTACTACAAGACAAGGTGAAGCAGGAGGTTTAACAGTAACTGAAACAAAAAAAAAAGACATGGGTGGCATGGTGACTCAGTGATTAGCACTGCTGCCTCTCAACGTTAGGGACCAGAGTTTGATTCCAGCCTCAGGTGACTGTCTGTGTGGAGTTTGCATGTTCTCCCTGTGTCTAAGTAGGTTTCTTTCCATATTCCAAAGAGGTGCAGGTTAGGTGGACTGACCATGCTAAATTGCCCCATTGTGTCCAGGGATGTGTAGACTTGGTGGACTACCCACGGTAAATGAGAAGTTACGGGGATGGGTTAAGGGGCTGTGTCTAGATGGGATGCTCTTTGAAGAGTCGGTGCAGACCCACTGGGCTGTGGCTTCTTTCTGCACTGTAGGGATTCTAAATTAACTCCTTTTTAAAGTTTTAAGTTGCTGCAAATATAAAAAAGAACCTCACAGACACCATGCCTTTTAAAAAGCTGCATTGTATGAAGGTACAGATTAAGTACCATACCACAATCCATGTGTTTAATAGCACAGAAGTGCAGGTGCAAAATAAATTTAAAAGGGTATCGTGAAATGTAAAGGGCTCTCACAAAAACGAAAGGCAACACAGATCAGATGGCAGTAATCACATCCCAGGGAACTGTTGTTCGTCAGCTAGCGTAGATCATCGGCATCACAAATAGGACTGTTGGGTATTACTGTTTTCTAGTTTAAGGATGCTTAAATCCAAATATAATTATATGTACATCTGTAATTGTTCAGGAATTATGCTTTAAATGTTGAAGATTAATGCAATTGTAATTCGTTTGGAGTGGCCTGAAATGGATTGAAATCACTCGTCACCACTCACTGTTTTTCCAGAGCCTGTTTGGGCACAAGCCATCAGATCCCGTCCAGAAAGTACAATTGGAATCCCATGTTTCTGAACTGGTGTCGGTTTCAGATATCCTGCTTTATTTATGTTCTTGTTCAAAGTTTCACACAAGTGAGCTTCATCAAATGACTGAAGAAAAAAAAGTTGATACTTTTAAAGCAGTGATTTTAAATTACCACATACAAACCTTTGGAATTGAAATTCTGTACTGGCAACAGTATACTGCAACTACATTATGTATGCGTAAAGAATATAAACAGGCAACACATTTTATGCTTTACAGTCCCAAAGTATAAACAGCAACTTCCAAATACCCAAGTTTATGACTTCTGTGGGCTGAGGCTTTTATAAGAAAAAAACTTTCAAAAATGCAAAATGTTTTAAATACGAAAAGAAATGCCCAAACAGGAGTAACTGCATCATTCAAGACTAGTGAGAGGAATCTTTCCAAAAAAAAAATTAAGTATTTCTTGGTCTATTTCTACCAGCGCTCATCCAACCAAATATTGCAGAGATTTCAGAACACTACACTAAAGTCACAAGCAACTACACTTGTCAACTATTGCAGCTTTATAAATCCCTGCTCACTTTTACTGAAAAGTCCGACCAAAATTAAATGCAAACTAGAATGAGATTTCAAACACCAAATGCAATATATGGCGTTCCCCAATCCTCTTAGCATACATGGGCATGGGAACAAAGGAAGGATTTCAATTCTGCACCCATGAATATCATAGAAGCAAAACAATTCAACTGCAGGCTCAATTATAATTGGGTTATAATGCAACTTGCAAGTGAAAGTGTATAATGTACCTTCTATGGTTCCCCTTTGCAAAGAAATTTTAATGCTGTCTAGGCAAATTGCCAGAATAGGGACAACTATGCACGACTGTCCTTTACATATATGAAGGCTTGTGCTTTCTTCTTCCATCCAATCACTCAGTTCTCATATGGAAGACCAAGTGACAGTTTGTATAAAAACCTAAATTGCTTTGATGCATTGCTCACCACACATACTCCCAAATCTCTGCCTATCAACTAGTTTCTCCATCAAGACGATCATTAAAAGCTCTATGACCAAGCTTTTGGTTACCTGACCTAATAATCCACATGGAGTGTTAATTCATTATTAATAACATTGTATAAATCCAAATAGCTGTCATGATTGTTGTACATTGTTCTGTACAGAACCTATTTTCTCCCGATTTAGATTTTTTTTCTATACATTTCTGGGATGTGGGCATCACTGGCTGGCCAGCATTTCTTGCCCATACCTAGTTGCCCTTGAGAAGGTAGTGGTGAGCTGCCTCCTTGAACCACCGCAGTCCTCCTGCTATGGCTTGACCCACAATGCTAATAGGGAGGGAATTGCCGGATTTTGACCCAACGACAGTGAAAGAACAGCAATATATTTCCAAGTCAGGATGGTGAGTGACTTGGAGGGGAACTTGGAGGCAGTGGTGTTCCCATATGTCAGATGCCCTTGTCCTTCTAGATGGAAGTGGTCGTGGGTTTGGAAGGTACTGTCTAAGGATCTTTGGTGAATTTCTGCAGTGGATTCGTTCGATATATCCCACATTTCATTTTGAGTCCATGATATAATTTTCACAATCTTGAATATTAGAATCTCCACTGCCCACCCTCCCCCCAAAAGAAAACTTGCCTTCCATGGAGTTTAATTTTACCTGACATTACTGCTAAAAAGATTTATGTTTGTAGGGACAGAGGTACGTGATCAATCAAGGTGTATTGCAGCCTTTAATCTATTTTTTCATATTTCATTCTACTTTTCTGAGGGGACTGGGAGGACTGACAGGGAAGAAGATACTGAGACGCATGGAATAAATATATACGCGCATCTTTGAGCGATCAAGGACAGGGATAAGAGCTGCTGTCACAGATACCGTCCATTCTGGAAGACCTTTCTCCCCTCCTTTTAATGGCATATTCCAGAAAAAAAAAGACAAGACCAAGAAACCTGGCCCTCTGAAATTTGAAGCTAATCACCATATTGCGGATCCAACAAGGCAATGCAATGTGTCAACACATAACAGTGTAAAGTGGAAGGGAGGTCATAATTTTTTTTTTTTTTTTTAAAAACAGTTTTACACAAAAAATGACTTTACATTGAGAAGTATTTTAACATATTTGTTCTTATTACAGAAATAAATACTGCTAAAGTGGAATGATATGGCCTTTCATATCCCAAGATTAACACGTACAGCAATGCTCAAAATAACTTCATATGAATGTGATCAACTCTTGGACAAAATTTTTCCAGCGATCACATGCACTACATCGTAATCTTGCGTAACATTTACATTCTGTACTGCTGTTCAATTTCCTATTCCATTCGCCATGTACAAAAGATGCTAGCTAAAGGTTGCTTAATATCCCACTAATTAAAGCACCATTTAGTGTTATACCATGTCATAAAAGTCTGAATGTCTGGCCAATATCTAACACACGGAGCTGTCTATAAATATTTCTTATTCATACATAACTCACTGCCCAACTTGAACACCATCCCAGTGGAAATGGCAAACACAATGCTGCAAGCTCAGGACTAAGATGACAACCTAAGTTCTAGGTCTTTTGCAGAAAATCAAACTTCCAACGTCACAACAGCATCATTTACATAAACTGTGAATGCAGTCAGCATATCAGCTCTAACAATTAATTAAACTCAAATGAAATTTCAATACTAACCAGTATTGCAGGGGGAACATTGAATCCTGAAACTTCGACAAGAATGTCATCATATTTATCGAAGTTAATACCAGTCTGATAGCGAGAAAAGATAGCACTCTCTTCTTCAGGAGGTGGAGGAGGAACATAGGTCACTTTAGGGCCTTTGAAGAAATATATGAATTAGATTTGAATTTATAGATTGAAATCTCAATATTTATTATAACAAAGAATGTTACTCAAGTAGAATCTTTTGGGCATACTGTTACAAGATGGAATTGTACAAAATAAATATTTTAGATACATAACATACCAAAGCAGCGAGTGCTTGCAGTCATCTTTCACGGCTTATGAAAAGGATACTTAGGTTCCAAGATGAAATGCAAATAAAAAAGATTTTACAATATAAAATATAATTACTGATATGAATTCCATCATCTAATTTAATACCAGGGACTTTCAGAGCGCAATGGTTCTTCAAAAAAAAATGTCACATTGACTTTGACATGATAGAGAGGTATCAAACTTGCTCTTTTTAAACTCAATAAACCTTTAATTAGCTCCTTACTGCTACAATAAAATGAAAGTAACTATTGACTGTTTAACTGGAGAAAGTACAGCATTCTTTTAAAGTAACTTAATCTTTGTGCAACGGGGTAAGCTGAAAAGATGGGAAGGCATTCAGCCCTATCTAACCAGCCACAACAAAATGAGAAGTAGCCAAAGTCTTCACATCCATGCAAACAGAATGCAACGTGAAGAGGAGCCATCAGCTGCTTCAAGGTAGACCACATGAACAAGGTCTACATACGAGATTCTTCCTCAAGAAATGAAAACAAAGTTGATAAAGAAAAATCAATGTATGATTAAATATTTGTAAAGCAAATGCCATTTAGTAATAACTAGCTGGCTCTACATGCTAAAGACAGCAAGATAACCACAATATAAAATCTTAAGAAATAACATAATAGAGAGCAGGAAATTCTCTGCTTTGTAGATCCAACATTGCTACCCAATCTAGGAATACAAGACAGAAAATTTCCAGTGTAATAACACAAGACAATGGATTTCCCCTAAAAAGCCATATGCATTGATGATGCTCACAGTCTGATTAGGAGATCCACAGACATGACAAGGTTGCTAAGTCTTCCATTTGTGTAGAAGATGAAAGTATCTAGCACAATAGGTCAGAAGTGGTTGACAGTTGTCCACTGCTCACAAAGAAAGTTGGTTGCAACAAAGATTAATTTTGCAGTTTGTCTTGTGGAGTCCTCTTTACAGAATCCATTTTTGTCACAAACTTTGCAGCAAGTCAGTTAAAGTCAAATGAAGATGGCGGAAAGGCTTCAGGAATTGTCCAAAACTGACTTCAATGTAACTTGGATTGCTCAAATTAATCTAAATAGTGATACCTATGAGAGCGCGGTTTTGCTCTCTGGAGACTACACATTGGTTATAATTCAATTGAAAAGATCTTGTTCATCCTTGTCAAAATACAGAGTAAAATCTACAATATGGAATGGAATTTCAACTAGAAATATTTATTTCTGATTCCTCATCTAACCAAGTTAGTTAAAAAAAAACAGAAAAAAAAATTCAAAAGGAATCTATTCAGACTGCAAAAGTTGGAACCACATAGTTCACCATAGTTCAGGATTGATGTGAACATTCGGAATCGAAAAATCAGCTATTTCAAACACTGGGAATGACACCAAATTAGGCTTCCCTCTGTCTAACAAAGGCATTCGTGGAAGAGGGTTGCCACTAGCCAATCCTTAATCGCCTTCTGGAGCATTGCGGCAAACAACCTTCTTGAAATTGTGCTGTTAGCGTGGTGTAGGTACTGCCATTGTGATATTGGGAAGGAGCTGCAGTTAGGAGGACATCAAAGCTTGGACTATCTACTGGATGCAGGATGGTTCCACTACAGCATGCACAGTCCTATGCTGCAACTTCACCAGGTTGACAACTCATTCTTAAAAGTACTCTTATGATTCCTTGTTGAACCAGGGCTGGTTCCCTTAGCTTTCTTAAAAATGTTGTGTGCGCATTGTGCCATGTCCGTTTAACTGATGAAATAATAGAATTCTGTTTCTCAGTCCAAAGGACTTCACGGATCCTGTTTTGGAACTGCTATATCCATTCAGAATTTGTCCCATTGATCACGTGGCCCATAAAGACAACACAACAGAGGCCACCCTCTTTTAGAAATGAAGTCCATCTTCATAACAGAACTGTGCAGTGGACAATGTGCCAACATTTTCATGGGCAGACAAAAAAGTATACGGATGAAGCTCAAATGTTATTTCAACATATACTGCAGGATCAATCTGGTAGCCACATACTCCAGGTCTTAGTCAGCTCAAATTAAGAATGGTGCTAGAGACTCTTTAAGTGGAAGACATTGAAGTCTCCCACTTCATACATTCACTTGGAATAAGTGTGGTATAGGATGTTGCTGAACAAGCAGACCTTGGAGTGCAGGTTCATAGTTCCTTGAAAGTGCAGTCCCATGTAGATAGTACAGTGAAGGCGGCGTTTGGTACTTTTACCTTTTTTTGGTCAGTGCATTGAGAAGTGGCAGATGGAGTCTAATCCAGACAAATGTGAGGCGATGCATTTTGGAGGATCAAATTTACCTGTGAATTATACTGTTAATGGCAGAACCCTGAGCAACATTAACATACAGACGGATCTGGGCGTGCAGATCCACATTTCCCTAAAAGTGGCAACACAGGTAGCCACAGTGATTATGAAGGCATATGGCATGCTTACCCTTAAATCAGCCAGGTCATGAAGTACAAGAGTTGGCAAAACATGTTGCCTTGTTAGGCTGCATTTGGAGTATTGTGTGCAGTTTTGGTCACCACACTACCAGAAGGACATGGAAGCTTTAGAGAGAGTGCAGAGAAGGTCCACCAGGATCTTGCCTGGTCTCATGGGCACTGACTATGAGGAAAGGTTAAAAAGACTAGGATTGTTTTCACTGGAAAGACGACAGCTGAGAAGTGACCTGACAGAGGTCTACAAAATAATGAGAGGCATAGATAGGGTGGATAGTCAGAAGCTTTTTCCCAGGGTTGAATTTTCATTTACAAGGGGGCATAGGTTCAAGGTCAGAGGGGGAAAGTTTAAGGGAGATGTGCGAGGAAAGATTTTCACGCAGAGAGTGGTAGGAGCCTCGAATGCACTGCCAGAGGCGGTGGTGGAAGCAGGCACGTTGATGACATTCAAGAGGCATCTGGATGATTACATGAATAGGGAGGGAATAAAGGGATACGGACTGAATAAGGGCAGGTTTTTTTTTTAGTTTAGTCAGGTCATGATGATTGGCACAGGCTTTGAGGGCCAAAGGGCCTGTTCCTGTGCCGTACTTCTCTTTTGTTCGAGTATAGGAGTTAGAGGTCATGTTGTGGCTGTACAGGACATTGGATAGGCCACTTTTGGAATACTGGGTGCAATTCTGGTCTCCTTGCTATACGAAGAATGTTGTGAAACTTGAAAGGGAGTCAGAAAAGATTTACGAGGATGTGGCCAGGGTTTGAGCTACAGGGAGAAGCTGAGTAGGCTAGGGCTATTTTCCCTGGAACAATCGGAGGCTGAGGGGTGACCTAATAGAGGTTTATAAAGATCATGAGGGGCACGGATAGGGTGAATAGATATGGTCTTTTCCCTGGGGTGCGCGGGTGGGGGATACAAAACTAGAGGGCATAGGTTTATGACGACAGGGGAAAGATTTAAAAAGGAACCAAAGGGGCAGCATTTTCATGCATAGGGTGGTACATGTATGGAATGAGCTGCCAGAGGAAACTGTGGGGGCTGGTACAGTTACAGCATTTAAATGGCATCTGGATGGGTATTCGAACAGGAAGAGTTTAGAGGGATATGGGCCAAATGGGACTAGATTAAGTTAGGATATCTGGTCTGCATGAACAAGATGGACCAAAGGGGCTGCTTCCATGCTGTACAACTTTATGGTGTTAAACTTAGGGTAAAGAGATTCATCAGCTGAGGTTAACAGTGAATATTAAGGGTTTTTGAACAGACTCATTGCACATTAATAGAAAGTTCATCTGTCCCTCCTCTTGCCTGAAACATTTCCCCCTGCAGGTACTTATGGGCTCCATTCAGAAATACTGTGTTCTATTTAAAGTTGATTCAGTTAATTAATGGTGCTGTGCCTCAATATTACCAAGAAGAGTGACAATATATTAACTCAATGTCAAACTTGCCATACTGATGTGGCCAGTCTGCAAGACGTTGCTGCACTGACCAGCTTCTATCACCAGATGGAGTGTGGTCAATTGACGATCTCAGTAAATTTTACATTTTTTAAACTCAAAGATCTCAAAATCCAAGGTTTCCAAAGGACAGGAGGGAATAAGCAAGTTCAAAACTTTAAATTTGCATCAAAATACCTTAAAAACATCAGAAAAGAAAGAAAAAGTCGACTCCACAAATTGTAACAATGGACACTCTCAGTTTGAAAGCGCTCTCTAAATGAAGTCCTCTTGGCTCATCATCTGTGAACACACCCCTGACTGCCATTCTGTATGTTGTACAACTTTACTTTAAAACAACTCAATTTATAAAGTCACACAGGTCTATCACCCAAGTAGCCGTAGTTTAAAACAAAACCAAAAAACGGAGGATGCTAGAAATCAGAAGCAAAAACAAATTGCTGGGGAACCTCAGCAAGTGTGGTAGAAACTGTGGAAAGTGGAGTTAACGTTTTGGAGTGGAGTGAAGTCAAGTCTTTGACTCTTCTCTTCATTAGACGCTGTCAGACCCATTGAGTTTTCCCAACAATTTCTGTTTTGTAGCTACAGTTTTAGGTCACTGCACTGAGTAGATCAGGGTCAAAGTGATCTATCCATATTCTAAACAAAAGATACACAGTTTAAAAAATAGTTAGCTTCTGGGCAGCAAGACTTCCTTGCCCTTGTTTGACTCAAAGTCACGGAGATTCCATGGGATTAGAATCATGCTTTGGCCATTTATCAACACGCTGTAAACAAAGAAGTGATAGTTGGCCCACCTGCTCCGGATTTAACTCCAGAATGCATATTCAATATCAACAGATTCCATAAACTGAAGCCAACCTGATGGAATTCCATGTTTTCCTACTAGGTAGGCAGCAATCTGGACAGCTAAAAGATAGTGGGATAGAGAAAAGGGTGGTGGAAGACGATGAGGAGATGAAAAATGAGAAACTGGTGTGTAAGAGGTGCCCATAATCCCAGGATATTCACATAGGCCCTGAGTAACTGCAGTAAGGCACCCCCTACTTCAGAACTCAAATCCTCTAGCAAGTAAAACCAATATACCAGTTGCCTTAAAGTAGAAGTTGTTGGAAAAGCTCAGCAGGTCTGGCAGCATCTGTGAAGAAAAAAAAAATTAATGTTTTGCATCTGGTGATGCCCCTGAGAACTCTTGATGTTTTTCTTCACAGATGCTGCCAGACCAGTCGAGTTTTTCCATAAACTTCCTTTTTGTTTCTGATTTACAGCTTCTGCAGTTCTTTCGGTGTTTTTACCATTTGCCTTCACTACCCTGTCTTACTTTCATTGTGTGGCATACAACAGCACACAGATCTCATTGTACATTCACACTTCCCAGTACACCATTTAACTAATACTCTTCCCATTTTTCATACTGAAGTGTATAACTCTACATTCAGCTACATCGTACTGCATTTGCCATGAATTTGCCCACTCAATCAATTCGTCACCTCTTTGCATCCACTTCACAAATCCTGCCCAGTTATGTCCAACTCGGAAACATATCTACAGATGTTGTGATTAACTGGGGCCCAAGCACTGATCCTTGTAGTATCCCACTCATAGCTGCCTCCAAATGTGGGAATCAACCAATTCTTGATTTTGCTAATATTTTACTACCTTTCCCATGTGCTTTAAACCTTTGCCCACTAACATCTTATGAGGTGCCTTAGCTAAATCCTCTGAAAATCCAAATACACCACATCCACTAATTCTCTGATCTATTTGACTAGTTACATCTTCAAAATGCTCCAGCAAATTTGTTAAGCATGATTTACCCTTCATAAACTCACACTGGCTTTGTCCAATCCTGTTAACACCTTCCTATTGTTCTGGTAGGTCTTTTTATAATGGACTAACATTTTCCTCAGTATTGATGTTAGACTAACTGGGCTATATTTCATTTGTTTTCTCCCTTTTTGAAGTCTTGGGGTTACATTTGCCACTCGCCATTTTGTAGGAAGGTGACCACCAACACATCCAATATATCCCAGGCCACTTCCTTTGATACTCTGGGATATATATTATCAGGACCTGGTTAGTTGTCAGCCTTTGACCCTATTAAATTTCCCTCGCATAATTCTCTTATTAATACTGATTTTCTCCAATTCCACCCCCTCACTACATCCTTGGTTCTCTAACATCTCAGGGAGGTGATTGGTACCCTCTTTTGTGAGGAGATAGTCAAAGTAAATATTCAATACTTCTGCCATTTCTTTGTTCCCTTTTATAGATGCCCTGGTTTGACTGGAAAGGAGCTACACTGAACTAATCTTGTTCGCTTCACACATTTGTAGAAACTGACCCTAAAAGCTTCCGTTAAAAAAAAAACCCAAAAGAACTGCAGATGCTGGAAGTCAGAAACGAAAACAGAAATTGCTGGAAAAGCTCAGCAGGTCTGTCAGCATCTGTGGAGGAAAATCAGAGTTAATGTTTCAGGCCCGGTGACCCTTCTTCAGAACTCAAATAAAAGCTTCCCAATTCCCTGCAATTTTACTCATGCTGTATTTGCTCCACCTTGATCAAACTTTATCTGCTCTTTAGTCACATTCTACAATACAACCAATCCTCTGCCTTGCCTTTTTTAAAAAGCAATTTTGTATGTTTCCCCTTTTGGATCTAATCCAAAACTATTTTCCTTTTTGAAAGCCATGGTTGAGTCACCTTTCTACTATTTACATACCAGACTGAAATGAATAACTATTGCGATTCATTCTCCCAGGCTGACCATAAACCATTCCTTTGTCTGCCTAACTGTTTCTCTCTCTCTGGGTTCTATCTCCACCTAACAGCTTCTCCTGCACCTTCCACCCCGACCTGCCCACCCATCTTTAGCATACATGCCAACATTTTCCTAGCTACAATCAGTTCTGAAGGAGGATCACTGGATCTGAAACGTTAGCTCTGATTTCTCTCCACAGATGTTGCCAAACCTGCTGAGCTTTGCCAGCAGTCCATTCTGGTTTCTGATTTCCAGCATCCAGTTCTTTGGCTTTTCAATACTTGGAGATGTGGAAGAAAGAAACTTGTAGCTTTTTAAAAAAAGTTCTCCCGCAGGTCCAGGCTTTGAAAGGAATTCCTGTTCCACTTCAATAAAAATCACATTAGTTACATATAGAACAGGCATTAATGTTTTTGTTAGTGGCAAATACCATTGTTATGCAACTGTCCTTGCAGGATCAAATAGTTTGCCATAACTCCTGCATTAAAATTCCACCTTACAAAAAAACTCTATACTGGATCATTATGAAGGCCTGATTTTCACCGCAGGAAGTGAAGTAATCGAACTGTATTATTCTAAAATTCATGTAACATTTAATGCACTTCATCCAATGTCCCAAGATGGAAATATAGACACGCAAACAAGGAAAAATTAACTAAAGAACAAGTCAATCTTGAAAGAAGTTTTAAAATAAGCTCACTTTGAACAAGCAAGTATTACCTTGGCTTTTATCACCTTCAACATCACCTGATTTCCAATGACCTGAAAAATAAATACAACTTGTATCAAAACAAAAAAAATTCCCTATTCACTTTGTCAAACACTGTTGAATGGATGAAGTATTTTCTTTCCCATTTCTAAATGGCAATTTAACAAACTCAAAAAATTAAGAAAAAGCATCATAATTAGACTCTAATCGCTTCATTATTGTAAACAATTGTACGGAGCAGAGAAAATAAAAGTGAATCCTTAATAGTGGCTTTTAAAGAGTTAATGGGGTTGGTTAGCGTAATCGAAAAGAAATTGCTGTGGGGTTGTAGAGTCAGCCGTGAGTTAGCAATTTTAAAAAAATGCAAGCCGGGGAGGTGCCAGGGAAAAGTTTAGGATTGTTTTTGTTTTAAATGATGGATTGTGGGAACATTCTGCTTCAGGCAGGGACAAGTGCATGACTTGAGAGAACTGGATAAATACCTCAAGCAGAGCAAGGCACAAATGGTGGGACGGCAAAGATGTGAAGAGAAACAACAGGTCAGAATGAAGTTAGTTGTATTTACCTAGCCAAAAAAATGTATACAGCAAACTTTTTATTAACCGGAACCTATGGGACTAGGAGTATACAGGTTGATCAAGATGTCCATATAATCAATGTAAAAACACACACCAAGTCATAGAAACATAATGTAAGGTGTATACAAATTATTGTTTTACTTTATTTACTCCATAAATCACTTAAATAATAATGCAACTTTGCCTTAAGTAAAACTCAGCTGCAGAGAGCCCTCTCATTCGCACCCTCAACTGACTATTTGAACATCGCGGATATTGCAATAATACAGTAAGCTTTCAGTATTTCAGGTTTATCATTTTTGCTGGTTTAGCGAGAGTTAAGGTTCATAATGTGCCAGTTAAAACAACATTTGCTTAGGTTCACTGGACACCTTCTGGTGCTGTTAACATCCCTGCTAGGTGAACAGCTCACCTGCTAATTTAGAAGTAGATCCAGAAAAGGGTTCTTCATTTCTGCCTCTGTAACCACCTGAAATTCAAAATTCCAAAATGTAAACCATACTGGATTTAAACATTACAGAAAATTGTAAGCCTTAAGTCACAATGTTGAAGGATCACTGATTGGCAACGTTACTTGTTTCTCTCCAATATGCTGCTGGTCCTAAGCATTTCCAGATTTTTCTCTCCCTTACTTCAGATTTAAAATACTTGTAGCATCTTACATCGGTATCATTGCTTCAGGTCATAAATTACATCTGATGCAGGATCTAGGTTACAGAAGTAATGTTAATAAATAATTAGACCCTCATCTGTGATAGCTTGCAGTGAAGGAAGTGGTATTATTCACGTTAAGCATCATTTCCTTATTATTTCCCAATCATAAGATCATATTGTTTAAGTTACTCAGTTGAAATTTTCATATCTAAAGAAATGAGATTTTTTGTTTTTTCCTATAGTTCTTACCCCATCTGAGCACGTCTACTTAGGAGATAACTTGTTATAACAAACTAGTATGCTCTCATTTTACCTCTCCTTCACTCTCCAAGATAATCAGACAAAACAAATTTTCAACTGTAAACACATGCAGATACGGTGATGAGATAGTAGGAACTGCAGATGCTACAGAATCTGAGATAACTAGGTGTAGAGCTGGATGAACACAGCAGGGGTCCTCTGATGCTGCTTGGCCTGCTGGGTTCATCCAGCTCTACACCTTGTTATCTCAGATACTGTGATGGGTTTGTTAGAGCTTAGTCCATTCAGAAACACAATCATTACAATGCAGAAGGTGGCCACTCAGCCCATCGCTCTTGCACTAGCTTGATCATCTAGCCCAGCTCTATTACCTGGTGCCAATCTCGTATCTTTTCCTCCCAGCCCTGCACACCACAACCATCCCAAGAAAAATTCCATACCTTAGCAATTCACTGTGTGAAAACCTCTCTCAAATGACCCTTGCTTCGTTCCATATCACAAGACAGTTAAGCCACAACCAATGGATCAGATCTAAACTCTGTAGTTCTACAACAACCAATCACAAATGGTGGAGGACAATTTAGCAACTCACTGGAAGTTGTCACTCCACAAATATCCCCATCTTGCCCAGCACATCAATGCAAAAGGTAATGGTTGCGAATGCTTTAACAATCTTCAACCAGAAATGCCGACTAGATGATCAATCTAGGTCTCCTCCAGAGTTCCCTAGCATCAAATCAAACAAAACAATAGCTCATGTAATAAAATTGAGAAAGCATTGGAAGCAGTGGATATTGTAAAAGCCTCTGGGCCCTGACAACATTCCAGCACTAGTACTGAAGGCTTGTGCACCAGAACATGCTGCACCCCAGCCAAGCTGTTCTAGTATAGCTACAAACACTAGCATCAATACAATGTGGGAAATTGCCAGTATTTTCTGAACACAAAAAAAGCATAACAATTTCAATTAGAAAAACTATCGGGAAGTGGGGAGGGGGCAGGGTGGGAAATGACAGAGAATTACCACCCATCAGTCTATTGTTCATCAGTGAAGTCATGGAAGGTGTCATCAACAGCACTATCAAGCTGCACCTGCTCAGCAATAATCAGCTCAGTGATGCCGATTTCAGTTTCTGCCATGGCCACTCCTGACCTCATTCCAGCATGGCTCAAATATGGACAAATGATCTGAGGCAATTGTAACTGTCCTTAACATCAAGACTGGAGGTCCAGCAAATCTGGAGTTAATGGGAACGGAGGGTGGGGCAACTCTGATGGTTGGGAGTCACACCTGGCACATGGAAAGATGGTGCAGTTGTTGCAGGTCAGGACAATCCTCTCAGCAGGAATTCCTCAGGGTAGTGTCCTAGGCCCAACCATCTTTAGCTGCTTCAATGACCTTCCCTCCACAAAGTCAGAAGTGGGGATGTTCGCTGATGACTACACAATGTTCAGCACCATTCACGACTCCTCAGATACTGAAGGAGTCCATGTTCAAATGGAGCAAGACCTGGACAATATCCAGGCTTCACAAGTAACATTCGCAACAAATGCCAGGCAATGGTCATCTCCAAAAAGACAATTTAATGATCACCCTATGACATTCAATGGCATCAACATCCTGGAGGATACCTTTAACCAGAAACTCAACTTGCCTGGACGAGTGCAGCTCCAACAATACTCAAGAAGCTTGACACCATCCAGGACAAATTAGCCTACTTGACTGTTTGTGTATGTAGATCCTTAGACAGCATAGATCATAGATCATAGAATCCCTACAGTGTGGAAAGAGGCCATTCGGCCCAACAAGTCCACACCGACTCTCTGAAAAGCATCTTCCAATCCCGCAATCACTTCTATCAAGAAGGGCAAGAACACCACTACCTTGCCACCCACAAGCCCCTCTCCAAGTCACTTTCTGACACGGAAATATAACTGCTGTTCTTTCACTGTCGCTGGGTCAAAATCTGGAACTCCTTTCCTCAAGGCATTGTGGATCTATCGATAGCATATGGACTGCAGCAGTTCAAAGGCAACAAACACTGACAAAGGCAATGATGCCCACATCCCATGCGTGAACAAAAAAAAGGTCCCACAATCCACACCATTTCATTCTGGTTTCTTTTACAAGAAAAAACAGCTTCTCCTCTTCATCTCTACCAGCCCTTCAGCCTTCCCACTGAAAAGAACAGTCCGAACCGCTTCAATCTACCCTCAAAAGTGAGGGTTTTTATATCTGGAACTATAAATTATTTCTGCAGTCTGTCCAGTGCATTTGCAACCTTCCTATAATGTGGTGCCCACAGCCTGCTCTTCTGTTTTTATGAATTAATTATTCATGAAGCCTGGTACACCATGCGTTATTTAGTGATCTCTCCATTAGTTCTGCCACTTCCAATACCAAACAAAAATTGCTTGAAAATCTCAACAGGTCTGGCAGCATCCGTGAAGAGAAATAAGAGTTAACACTTCAGGTCCAGCTGTCTTTCTTTAGAAATGATGGTAGCTAGGAAATGGCGAATATATGCTGAAGACCAGAAGTGGAAGGTATCTAAGTAAGTGATAGGTATAGATGGAGCCCAGAGGGACAGCAAGACAAAACGATGATAATAGTATGTCTGGGGAGGGAAAAAATGCTAATAATGTGGACCATAACTAAGTAAAAATGGGTTGGCTGCGCTGAAATAGGGTGTAATATTGCACTCAAGAAGGAAAATGAAAACCAGGCCGCACAGGCTAACACGGTTATAAGAAAAATTGAAAACCAAAAGACTCAACACCTCACCTCTTGTTGCAAGGGGAAGCTGAAAGCCTGTTCTTCCTCGATTTAAACCAAATCCTCCACTATCACCTATAAATAATTCAAAACGAGAAGTGTTGAAATTACAACAAAAAGGAACAAGTCTCCAATACAGTAGCAATAATGTATACAAAAGGAGGACATTCTAACTGTGGCACCTTATCAATATACGAATACCCAATGTCTGCTGGGTCCTCCCATTCATCCCAGACCTCCCACGAAAAGCAGAGCTGTCTTATTCTCAATTACTTCCAGGATTCCCTTCTTGTGGGAATAGGAGACGGAGGAATTGTGTAACCCAGCACTTAAAAACTACATTTCTCTCCCCTCTGGTTTTATCTCCCTTAATAAAAAAGGTCCTGCTTTGTATTTGGTCCAGTGGGCACCTAGGTACTTCAAAACAACATTACAGCATTTGCCAGCAAACTATTTGAATGGGTTGACAGTGCAGTTCTATTGTTGTGAAGGTTTTAAACAACAGGCAATTCTAAACAGCATACCACTTTCTAACAGATGTTAGTGGATTTACTTATTATTACCATACTGTTGACTTAAGTAGCTTTCATTCAATAGCATGCTTTCCTGCTTCAAAAGGTCCTGGCCTAAACAATAATCTTCTGACAAGAACATAATCTAACACCAAGGGAGTATTGCATTCTTAAGAGGGGTTATCTTTCTGAAGAAGTGTTAAAACAAATCACCATCTGGCACCTCTCGTGGGCATAGAGAATAAAAAGTCCCATTTTTCAAAACAGCAGGGCATTTTCCCAAAGTTGCTCAAAGTTAGTACACGTTTTTTAAAATGCATGTTTGTGGAACACTGCAGACCAGAGCACAAATTTCCTTAATGTGGGGAAACAATGACTATATTTCAAATTTGCTAAAATACATTTAAAATAATTAAAAATTGCTATTGAAGTCCTTTGGTTGTAAGAAGTAAAATTAATGGAAGTTCCTTCTTAAATGAACTGTCATGTTGTCATACAAATCAGGAATCAAAACAAGCACACAAATCAGATTTACCAAATTAATGAAGTGCAACAATTAATCTATACTTTTCAAAAGCCATTTGTTCAAAGTGAACACAAACCCTTCAGAAAATGAACGCGGAGAGACGGTTATGGGGAACAAGGGAATGGTTTTTTTTATTCAGGAATGGGATGAGGGCATCACTGGCTAGGCAACATTTATTGCCCATCCCTAACTGCTCAGAGGGCAGTTGAGAGTCAACCATATTGCTGTGGGTCTAGAGTCACATGTAGGCCAGGCCAGTTAAGGATGGCAGTTGCCTTCCCTCTAGGACATTAGAGAACCAGGTGAGCTTTTCCAACAATCAACAATGGATTCACAATTATCATTAGATTCTTAATTCCAGATATTTTATTGGATTCAAATTCCACTGTCTGCCATGGCAGAATTCAAACCTGGATGTCCAGAACATTATCTGGGTCTCTGGATTAACAGTCCAGCGATAATACCACTAGGCCATCTACACTCTACAAGGAAGGCGATGGTAGAGGGGTTAAAGAGATATTCTGCAGTCTTTACAGTGGAAGATACGAACATCCCATGAATACTAAAGAATATGGGGGAAGGAATTAAGTACCATCACTAAAGAATTAGTATGAGACAAACTAATGGGGCTAAAGGCAGATAAGTCCCTTGGCCCTGATGGCTCACATCCAAGATCCTAAATGAGGCAGCTACAGAGGCAGTGGATGCATTGGCTGCAGTTTTCCAGAAGTCCTTAAGTTCTGGAGGAGTACCAGAGGATTAGAAGACTGCCAATGTGACACCACCTATTTAGAAAGGGAGGGAGGCAAAAGCAGGGAACTACAATTAGCCTAACAATTACAGTTGGCAAAGTATTGGAATCAATTAAGGTAGTAATAGCAGGACATTTGGAAAATCATAACCTAATCAAGCAGAGTCAGCATGGCTTCACAAAAAGGAAATCATGTCTGACTAATAAGAGTTTTTCAGGAATTCTTAAACAGAGTGGATAGAGGGGAACTGGTAGAATGTATTCTATTTGGACTTTTGGAAGATGTTCACAAGGTTAAGTCACAAAATAAGAGCCCACAGTGTTGGAAGTATATGAGTATGGATGGAGAACTGGCTCATGGGCAGGAAACGAGTGGGAATCCGGGGTTCTTTTCCAGGTTGGTGACTTGTGACCCTTGGGGCTCCACAGGGATCAGTTGCTGGGGCAGCAACTGTTTACAATATGTATTAATGACTAAGGAAGTGAATGTATTATTGCCAAATTTGTAGATGACAAAAATAGGTGGAAAGGCAAGTTACGAGAGTGAGACAAACACTTTACAGAAGTATTGATAGGTTAAGCAAGTGGGGAAAAGAAGTTGGCAAGTGGAGTATAGCATGAAAAATGTGAAGTTGTTCATTTTGAAAGGAAGAACTAAAGAACAGTATTTAGAATAAAGAAAAAAACAGAAATCTGCATGGAGGCACTTGTACACAGGTGCAGAAGATAATCAGGAAAGCTATTGGAATGTTGGCCTTCAGTTTAAATGGGGTTGGAGTACAAGATTAGGAGACTGTAACTGCAACTGTACAAATGTGGTTTCACCAGCATCTTGGAGTACTGTTAGCGGTTTTGGTCCCCTTACTTAAGATATTTCATTACACACAATTTACAGAAAGTTCACAAGGATGATCCCTGATACAGAGAGATTATTTTATAAGCAAACGCTAAACAGTTCGGACTCTATTCACTGCAATTTACAAGAATTTAGGTGGTCTCATTGAGACGTATAGGATTCTTAAGGCACTTGACAGGGTAAATGCTGACAGGATTGTTTCCCCTTGTGGGAAAGGCCAGGACCAGAGGGCATAGTCTCAAGTTTGTTTTAAAATTCACTTGTGGCACGTAGGCATCAGTGGTTGGCCAGCACTTATTAATCCTCCCTAGCTGCCCTTGAGAAGGTGGTGAGTTGCCACCTTAAACCATTGGTTGACCCACAATGCCCTTAGGGAGGGAATTAATTAATTCAAAATTAAGAAGAAGAATTTCTTCTGAGGGTTGAGTGTCTTTGGAACTCCTTGCCATTGCAGAGTCCTTGTGTATATTTAAGGCTCAGCTAGATAGATTCTTGATCAGTAGGGTAAATAAAAGGTCACAGGGAAGAGCACAGAAGTCAACACGAGCAATGTCAGATCAACTATGATCGTAGCGAATGGCACACTTGGGTCAAGGGGCCAAATGGCCCTCCTGCTCCTATTTTGTATAAATCATAGAGTCGACCAAATCCCTTTTAACTCCTTGTTTATGGGACATGGGTGTCAGCTTGGCAACAGTTTAGTGGCCATGTTCCATTGTTCTTTTAGATGGTGGAGGTTGAGGTCAATGAGATTTATTGAGTTACTGTAGTGCATCATGTACATGGTACACACGGCTACCAAGGCATCCCTTGCTTTGGTGGTGAAGGGAGTGAACGTTCAAAAAGTGGTGGATGGAGTGTCAGTCATGCAGGCTGCATTGGCCTGGATGCTTCTGAGCTTAAGAGTGCTTTGAGAGTTGTATCCATCGAGACAAGTGGACTCTGTTCTATTACCCTCCTGACTGAAATCTTGTAGATAGCTTACAGGCATTGGGGGCGATAACTGGGCGAGTTACTCCCCCTAGAATTCCCAATCACTGACTTGCACTCACCCACAGAATTTATATGGTTGATCCAGTTCAGTTTTTGACCAATGGCAACTCCTTGGATGTTGACAGCACAGGATTCATTGATGGTTATGCCAGTGAACGAAGGGTAGTAGTTTGTCTTTTAGAAATGGTCAGGGCCCTTTCTACAAGCAACAGTCATTGAATGGAATGCTGTTTGCAGCAATCTGTAGCATCTCACGCATCTCTATAGTCTTCATACCAAAGCCTGAGGAGCCCACATTTTCACATGCAGGCCCCAGCTGAAGAAAACGGGAAAATGAGGAACCCTAGAACCTTACCCCAAAGTAGTCATACTCTAGCATCTCAAACATCAGACGTTTACCACAGAAGACAATCAAGTGCCTCAGCAAATTGATCATTAGCGAATGCAACATGATTCTGTACTACGGATCGATAATGTACCTGCCAACTAAAGGCCACTGGTGAAATCCTTAATGCTGAGAACCCATTTCCTGTAACTTAGAATATACTCAGCTCAGGGGTGTCAGCAGTATTTGTAGCTCCTTTCAGTATGATGTCTGTAGCAGATATATATACATACACACGTATATTCTCAATAATGATCCAATATGATGTTTATTGACAGACAATTCAAATCTCAAAAATCTGGCTTGATATAGTATAACTAAACAATTCTGGTCTGGAACTTTTCAATTAATAATTAAAGTCTACATACCATTTATTTCTGAAGTTCTAAACGGTCTCCCTTCTTCAGGGGCAACTGTTTTAAACACCCAGCTTCAACCAATACTTCAGAAAAACTTTGAAACTGTAACTGAAATGCTTAAAAAAATTTCGCCTTTAAGTGTAATGCGCTCCTGTTTACTTCATTCCTTCAAATAAAGTCCTATTATTACACACCAAGAATATTTAATCTTAATATTTCAAAACAACATCACCATGGCTATAGAAATACAAGTTAATCTTGAAACTCCTCAAGACAGACCAAACTCTAAAATTAAACAATATTAAAATATAGATAAATTAAACCTTGCAAACAAAGTTAGCCTCTTTGGCTATAATGCACGCTGCCAATGAAGTTTCAAAACAAAAACAATTTTCCAAGGCCAATTCAATTACTGAATCTAATTCATAAATTAGGCATGTTTGCAATAAATTAACAACCCTTAAAAGACCTGTCAATATGACATGTTGATAGACATTTAGTTGGGCCCCAGGAGAAAACAAACACGATGACTGAGCACAGTCACTGGTGCTGCAATACTTTTCAGCAAACCCCAGACAACTCTGTAAAACAAAGGGAACGAATGCAGAAGGAAACAACTCCTTTTTAGGTGGTTAACAACCAGCAATGCCCATGCACATACTTGTCCCACCATCATAGTCTCAGTTCTGCCATCCTGCATCAAAACATTTCTCAAAAAAAGTACTGATTCAGATTAGCCAAGGTTTTGCAACAGAAAAATCAATAGGAAATCATAAGCTCCAATGTTCTCTGGTAATTTGCTAAAAAGGTAGGAGGCTTAGACATACTCCTTTTCTTCAGAGAGAAGGAATTCTTGCATATATAAATGCATGTCGCTTCTATTAAGCAAAACTGCACCATGTTACAAGTGCAACTGATGAGCTTGAGTTGGCATTTTAGTGCAGTTAGTAGCACAGAGGATGGTTTAGTAAATGCCGTCCAATCGCATCTTGCTTTGGAGGTTCGAGACATGATTTCAGTACGTGGGTAGACACCCAGTTAACCATTAAAAATCCTCATTTCTGTATTTAAAACTTTAAACATGTACAGTATATTCTCACCTGACTGACCGCCAAATCCTCCTCTTTCACTAGGGCCACCTCTGCCAAGTGAGCCACCTCTGCCAAAAGGACCATCTCCACTTGCTTTTACAGCAACTTAAGAAAATAAAAGTCCACATTTAGGAGATATGGTTTCAAACCATCTTAAAAAATTTGGTTCCATTTAGAACTTAAACTTGTAATTACACTCTAGGGACACAAAAAGCAAATAATAAATCAAAAGCAACTTTGGACAGAAGAAAGTCAATACATAGAAAGGCAGAGAAGAAGTGGAACGAGATTGAAACACATGGGGTCGAGGAACAAAGGCATGTGGGGCACAAGTGCATACCTCTTGAAACTGCGAGTGTGGCACCAAAACCATCTAAAGATTTTATAACATTGGACAGAATCCATAAGGAAACAGGTAATAGATTTGAACATGCCAAATTTCAAAGTATTCAGTCTAAAACTAAGTCCATTTGGTCCATTAGGTGAGAGGTCATATTCCAATGAGCCTCCTCCCACACTACCACTAACTGTATTCTTCAGTTCTAATCTGTAAACCAGCTCACCTATTGTTCATTATTCCTGCTCTGGACTGCCTATCGCCATTCTCTCATCCAGAACCCGGCAATCACTGGATCACTGTCTCCTTCAATGTTCCCCCACTGACACAATCTATTTGCCCACCTTAAGGCTCAACTTATTTCCAAATACCAGGACTACCTCGAAATCCTTTCGAGTTCATCTCGTACCATTCATGGACATATCCTACAACACGTTTTTATATATTTGCTCCTCTCTGCCCTTCAACACTGACTACCTGAATAAAGGGTGAGTCAAAGTTCTGTATTATAACCATTCTGACGTTGGTATCTCATGCCCCTGCATGTTTGTTCCTCTACATCCTTCCCACTAATTGGTGGTCGAAAGGTTACTGCGCAATGTAACAGCATCCTTTTTGTTCCGAAGTTCTATCCAAATTGATCTTGCCATGAACCCTCATTTCTGCTTTCTCCACCACACCGTACCAAAACCTTGTGCCCTCCTTGCTATCTTTTCAGAATACCTTGTACCCAGGAATGTGTATCACGCTTTTGCTCTTCTTTAAAATGAGTCTCTTATTATCACAATATCATATTTCCACATGACAAGGTTTGCCTCCAATGCCCCATTATTTACTACACTGGGTACATTCACATCAACGGACATTAACTCTAAATTAAGCTTCACTACTTTCTCCCTCACTCCAAGTTCACCTATTCACTTTCTACACTATTGCTAGTGCCAGCTGTATTGCCAAACGTTGTCGACGCTGGTATTTTCCTCTAATATTCTCTTTCGACTCTCACAGCACTGCTAAGTTAGTTTAAAACCTTCCAAAGAGCAAATTGTCCTGCAAGAAACTCAGTTTCAGCTGTTTAGGTGCAACCTTCCCAGAACCAATCCCAGAGTCCATGAAATCTAAAAGAAGTATCTTGCTTCCACGTCCTTTTCATAAATACAGATCAGAACAATTTACGGTTGTACCAGAATGGTCTTGCCAAGCTCTACACTAGTTTAACAATCTTATCTTAGCTTTGTAATTCTATCCTTTCTAATTCTGTTGCTTTTGACAAACTGTAGAGATGCATTTTATTCTTTTTTTTGTACCTGTAAATACAAATCACTACTCTGTTACCTCATTTAATTACCTATTTTACCAAGGACTAAAGTGACCTACCCTTACAGCCAAAAATGTCCTGCCTCAAATCAAAGCTCATTTGTCAACTGTATACACATTCTGGTAGTTAATGAATGCCTCCTTGTACTTGATCACACCAATTCTCTACAATAATGAAAACATGCGCCTGAGCTCACTGTTTCAGAGTTTTCTACAACCCTCAGTGAATAAGTGTGCATTTCCCCAAATCTTACCATTCTGAACACCAACTCTCGGGAATCCGGCACGATCACCTCTGCCAAACCCACACCTTCTTCCGCCTCTACGGTCAAATTCATTTTTGTTGCCAGTGGCAGCTTCTGTAAAGCCTGCAACTATTAAAACATTATACTGTAAAGAATAGAACAAAAGAAGTGAAGTACAACTCAAAACTGTTAGAACCTAACTTTAACATCTATGCTTCATTCAGCCCTCATGAACAACAACCAGACGACAAGAAATATGGAATATAATGGACTGGAACAATTCATGACACCGCATTAATCTTAGCCATCAACTGAAAAGATCACTTCTGAAACAAGCATTTTTGTCCAACGACCATTAAGTGTATCTTTCATTCATTCAAACAGATTACCAACAGTAATACTTAGCTTTACAAAAATTCCAAAATCTTACAGAAGTATCACTATTGAGTCAGAGGATTTTTATACTGGCATACTTTAACTTACAGATGGCAAAAACCAAAGGTTTGTGTCAATTCAAATTGCAGCCAATATGAAAGCAGCAGCAAGGTGAAGACCAATCTGCCAGAGAAAAATTCACATAAATGTCAAAATGGGTGCATTAGCTTCTGGCTCGGAACACCACATGGAAGGCTAAAAAGTTAAAATACCAGATTTGTTAAGTATATAGCTGGAAATGTATATTTAAAGGATTATGAGGAACTGATTACACATTCCTAATTAAACAGAATGTACCAAGGTTTTTAAAAGGGAAATGTGATTTCCTGAAATTCTTCAGTAACGAGAGCCAAGATTCACCTGCTAATTACAGAAAAGACATGTAACACTGGAAAAGAAACAAGTAAACCTTTGAGAGAGATAAGAGAAGGGGTTTACTGTTTTAATTGCTAAAGAAGCTTAGTTTGGAAGAGATGGGACTGTGTGCTGTTAGTTATTTTGCCAACATTCTGGAATTCATTCCTGGTTTACTAGCACATCCAAGTGTCAAAAAGAGGAAACGTCCTCCAAAGCTTGCAGTAAGCAGGACTCTCTCAGGAGGGAGGGACAGTTTTCATCTAAACTGAAATCTTCGGATTAGATATGTTCCATCATTCGATGGCAGTCGGCATTTCGAGCTTATTGACAGGAAATTCTCATTATGACTGTCATTCTATTTTCTCAGAGTTCAGATCCTTGGTTTATTGTTTCTTAAAAAAAATGTTTATAGTGCTGTACTATCTCCATTTGTCAAGTAAATGATTTCGTTTGCATTTTTTAACCAGCTTTGCCATTTGTTTATTGAAAAAATTTTTCAGTTGCAAGAAACCTGGTGAAAGCCTTTTATTCGGGGAAGGAAGAAAAAGAGAACAATGTGGCCACTGCAATGACTGTATCAACACATTTATATTAATGGTTTGACTCCGAGTAGTGGGCAACCAGCACAGTGCTCCCACCCAAAAGTCATAATACCAAATGATCAATTATAGTCTTACTGACAAGAATTCAATAAATCAAAAATATCTATCTGCTACAAAAGAAATGCAGGTTGCGAAGACTAGCAATAAAACTCCACTCATAACAACTTCAACAATTTCTCAAGCAGGGAGCACCCGATTGCAGTCAGTCAGAATATTTATTTTCCTAGGGCTCTTCAGGGGCAACTTGTTTATTCTCACGCTCTTATTAGGTGATGCAATTTTGTAGATTTCTTTTAAAAAGAAAGTTTAATGTATAGATATGGCAGCACTAAATAAGTATCAAATACACATACATTATGAAAAACAATTAACAGGATGGAACAAAAACAGAATGGTTTTATTACAGACCTCCCACACACAGTTTTATGATATTGATACAGTAACTGGATGTCATGAGGTAACTTATTATGATTAAGTCTCATATCTACATTCCCAATTGATTGCAAGCAGTTAGCACCTCTCAGTCATTCTTTAGTTTTGCGCTGCAATTTCAAGTTTTGAGTCTCTCAATACATTGTGTAAAGTGTGTTGACAAGCACATTATGACGCCAATTTCCAAAAGTCCAGGTCTACAGAAAGGGGAAATATACATAAATCAATTCTGATGCACCAGGCTAAACATCAGATAATGAATGGTTTAATTCACATTTCAGTGATTTCAACTCCACATTCCCCCACCCAAAAAGATCCAATGCAGCACCTCAGACCTTATATTTGACGTTGACTCTTTGCCCTCATTGGGTGAATTTGCTTTCACAAAACTAGGCAGATTTCCCATGTCCACACATTTTCCATACATTTCTTTAAATATTTAGTGGCCCACCTCACAGACTTCAAATTATATGGGCTGGGGGATCTTACAGGCAGGTAATTGAATTTGCACCCAAAAGGCCACCAGGTAACCTACAAAGAGAGACTGAAGAATCATCCCGAGTGTGGTGTATGTGTATGCACACATGCATAGAATTCCATTAAAAGGTTGCCCCTGCATAATAATTCCATACATTATGGCTCCTCTGGTGTAGGCTCAACAACTCAAGGCAGAGGCTGCAGGAAAACAAGATGTAGTTTGACTGGAGTGACAAGCCAGCCTGGGAGAACATAATGCGAGCAGCTGCCTTGCCAATTGCAGATTCATCTCTTCTATACTGCTGCTTCTGCACTTCCAATGACAAGATCTTCCCCTCCTTCTCTTGCTGCCCCTTCCAGGGACAGAAGCCACATTTGGGGATGCAGCGAGTGCTGGGGGGAAAAGAATCGGTCATGGGAGAAGCTACAGCAATTATCCTGGACAATTTCCCGTTTGACTGGAACACTCATCATCCTCGAAGACAAAGGCAAAGCCAAGAAAAGAGGGTGGAAGCAATAGGTCACTAGAAACAGATTCAAGAGTACACCCAGAGGAGCTACCTGCACCAAGAACAATGGCATTAGCCAGCAGATAGAAGGCCCATTGCCCTTTAACTTTGTGCATAAATGGTATCAGGTGAGTACTGGAGAAAGGCAGAGATCAAATGAATCTGCACAGTCATTTGTGTTTCACAAAAACTGCTCATGCAGCTATTTATGTTTCAATGCATTAAATAAATTTATTTAGATAAATCTAATCACAGTTATTTTAGTGTAATAATATAAATTGTTAATTGTATTTAGGTGAAGGAAGACTTTCCATGCCCCTCTGGTGTGATTTTCAATCACTGTTGGACAAATCACATTTGCCAAAATTAAAGGGGCTGCTCTGTACTCTAAACTTTTCAATGTCAAGCACTGACATGGTTAGCATACTATTTTGATTGGTTGTTATTTAATCCCTTGGTTCAAGATCAAGTTGTTGACACCTCTTTCCATTTGGTATTGGTATTTTCTAGTCTCAATAAAGTCTGGAGGCGGGAAAAAAACAAATGCAGAAGGTAATGCTAGTTGACTGCATTAAAAAGGAGTCAGGCACTGAAAAAAGAACCCTAAAAATGAAATTTTGATGCGTTCCTCCTTGTTTTTTGTCAAATATCTTCGTGACATTTGCTGGTCATTCAAGGTGTTTCAGTGTTATTCTCATACATCATGAGTGGTCTGCACTGATCTTTAAAAAAATCACTACTACAACCTTTTCCTAGTTCACTTACAGAACTCCTCCCATTTCAACCAAATTTTAACATGCTATGCCACATTTCCCTAAAACAAATCTGACTGAATTCTTCAGTCAGCCTCTCGAAATCCAGTGTCAAAATTCTGGAAAAACCAAATGTACTGCTACATTTCTGTAACCTGCCGTGTTAGAAATTAATCAACATGGAGTCCATGAAGAAAGAAATACTATTTTTACATTTACAATATAGTCACTATGAATCTCCCCAGAATGTGCCAAATTCATTCTGCACTCAATGATGATGGCAAACTGTCCACTGGAGATACAAATAGCACTGGCAGTAAAGAATGTACTAAGAGTAAAATTATTTTGCCACTAGATACTGGCAGTACTTTATTGACCAGCATTAGATTACAGCCAGGCCCTAAAGCCAAAACAAAGCTAGCTTTCCTTATTAAAGTTCAGATTGTTAGAGTAACCTCATTTGTCAGACAAAAAACAAAATGCTGAAGCAGCAAAACTCCCAAATTCAGAAGATCCATAAGTGGAAACTCACCTTGCTGCTTCCCACATCCACTTTTGCCAAATATATTTCTATCGCTCGTGTTAAAACCATTCCCATCTCCAGATCCTTGAATTTAAAGAAAAAGCCATTAGTACTCCTTTCAGGAAAAGGAGAACAAAAAAATCAAAATTCACTCACGCCAAAATCAATTTCTGCAGGGAAACATGCAGAAAAAAACTCAAAAGGAATAATTTTTCCTCACAACTTGACATTCACAAAAGGCAACAGTTGGGCAATGGAAAGAAATTCCAAACACCAACAGCACACTTGCTTTGCTTTCTCAAGTCTGCACATCATTCCCCTATTTCAAGTGAATAGACAGTTTGTTCTCAATGCTGCTGGACAGCACCAAGAAACAAATCCATGAATATAGACCAGGCCATTTTCATGCCAAGAAGAGTAAGCACCCATCTTCCAGGTGATGTCCTTCCACATCACAGCCAGAGCAGTGCTTTCAAAAACTTGATCCCCCACTGAAACCCCCTTTTGAAGAATTGAAAGTTGGCATGACCCTGCAGTGAAAACCGTGGGACCAAGCTGGGAAAAAAAACTGATTGTAATTACTGGTGCATCAGAGCACCTACCAGAAAATGTAATCATGTGACTACAATCCATAGTTTGGGAAGCCCTGTTCTAGCAATAAGGCAATCTATGGTATAGGACAGGAGACATCTGATGCCAGCTACAAAATTAACCACTTTGTTACAGAGGAAACCAACAACTTCAATATATTTGTAAAATTTGGCAGTTGAGCACAAATATACTGCTTTTTCTAACTCAGCATTCCCAAAAGACATCAGAATAAATACTGCAGCACAGACAGCCAAAAGGTAAGTGACAACTGGTACCCACCCATCCCCGCTGATTAACTCCATCTATCTCCTACTGCAACTTTGTCTTCCAAACTTACTCCTTCTGCCAGAAGTAGCACCCAAATTAAGTAAACATAAACAACTGCACCGATCCAAAGAGACCACGACCAGAAATTACTTTTGCTGAATGAGTACGTTGAGATAAGACTGGCCATTTTTGCCTTACCAATGATTATAACTTCCCAGTGGCTGGACTTTGGCACAATAAGAATATTTTTTTGGAAGGTTACAACCTATGCATCCAGTATCTTGCCAGCCACTTCTTTTAAAAAAGCAAAGATGAAGGCCAGTAGGATTTCAGCCTTTAACTTCATCAGTGTTCTAGTTCTATTTCAGGTCCCTCCCTTTCTTTTTCATTCTTCTTCAGATGCATTTTGTGTTTTTCACCTCAAGGGCAGATATGAAACATTTTTGCAAAGTCTCTGCCATTTTCTTATTTTACTATTTTTCCACTTTTTACCACATCTATGAAGGGACTAATACTCACTTTAGTAGTTGCTGTTATATTATACTCAATCTAATTTTGACCCCTTTGTTGGTTTCTAGAATGTTCACTACCTTCCCTAACTCCAGCCTTCACAGCAAAGTATGCTTCTTCTTTCAATTTAGCACCATTTGATAAGAGCCATGCGAATTGCAGCAAATTTTGGTAGTTTAACAACATTTTACTGAATCATAACTTATACTGAGCAGCAAACTTTCAATATTGGGTCCTATGTGTGGCTATCAGTAAATTCCAGTATTTATGAAGCAAGAAGGCCACCTAGTGGCATACAATTTTCATTTTAACAGTAACCCATAAGAACCTCTAGTCCCCAACTAAGAATCTGTCCTTAGTATTCTCCTCTTTGTAATCTACATGCTATCTCTTGACAAAAATCAACCAAAAATAGCTTCCACCTGTAGGGCAAGAATATCCAACCCAAGCTCACCACTACCTCCAAACTGAGAGACTACTAATCCAACATCCAAAACACCAGGAAGATTAAAACCTTCCTCCAATTCAATATTGCAGAGACTGGAAATGAACTTCAGTTCCTCCTTCAGTCTCTGGTCCAAAGCCATCAATTACATCCCTGTTCCTGAGGAGTGACTGAATAGGCCATTTACAATTTGGTTGTTGTATTTGACCAAAGGAAGGATATTGGTGCTAATACCTAATCATTTTCCTTTACAGGGCATCATCGGATTCTGCTGTTGAAACCCCTCTCAACGCTTTAGTCAACTCTGAACTTGACTAGTCCAACACACACCTGGCCAGCCACCCACTTTTGACTATTCACTGATTCTTGCACATCCAATTCTGTCATCTACATTCCAATTCACATTAAGCCCATTCACCTCTTGCCCTTGTATTCGTAAAGCTACTTGGGCACTCTCAGGTGGATATTAAAGATACTTTCACTTGGTTTGTAAATCCATAAATGGTACCATTCTTCCTGATCTCTAATCTTCTGCAACACCAAACTTCAGGATATATGCACTCTGCTAATTCTGCTTGCTCAATTATCCTCTCCTTGAATCCCCCTACAACTCTAGGCCATGCCTTCAACTGCCTAGGCCCACAGCTCTACAATTTCCTCCATAAATCTCACCTTGATACCTTATTTTTCTCCTTGAAAGTCTAGTCAAATATCATTTGAGAACTATTAGCATAGTGATCTTGGACAGCAAATCCAAGTACATTGTTCAACTACTCAAGCTGCCAAATTTGCCTTCAGGAAAATGTCTACTTGTCATCTGCCTAGATAATCTTAATCATTTTTAGATGAAATGGCGTCCAATGCCACTAACACAACAGGAGTTAACTCTAAATGCTTCTGGTCAAAACACCTTCCCATATTGTACATTCTGTCCAAGTCCTTCTCAGTTGTATCATCTTTATCACAGCCAAGCATGATATGCATAAGAAGAAAGAATTGTGATCATTCGGATTTCAAGGTGAAGAAAAGAAGTGAATAAAGATAAAAGTGAAGATGACCAATGACATCCAGCAACCCAGTGAAAGAAAATCAAGAATTAACTAATACCTGATTGGGGAGCTAGAATAGTTGGCAACCTGAATGACCATTAAATGGTGGTTGGCATCTATTCTGCTCTATATCTACAAAAAGGTCAATCCAAAAATTTATGCACACATCATTGGAGGTTTTGACAGAACTGATGAAATAATATTCCTACATTGAAAAATCAATCAAGGTTGAAACACTGCCTACTTTGCCTTCTGGTTTTTCAACCACAGTAGTAAATTTACTAAGAAAAATCACAGCTTAACACAAAAGAAACGTAAGATGCTGGGAAGATTTATTCCAATTTTCTAGCTCTTGCAGAGTTTATCAGTGGTTCCAAATCTTTTTAGTATGAAAGCACACTTCAAATGAGACAAACAATGCCACAGCGCTCACATTTCTTACAAAAACAGGTGCCACACAGTTCATGAAGATCTGGTTGATCTAACTGTAACCTGAACTCTACAATACATCCAAACTTAAACTTTCCAAACTGTCCCTTCCTTGAAACATATTCAATGACCTCACTTCCACTAATCTCTAGGAGACAGAATTTCAAAGACTCATGACCTTCAGAAGAAAAGAATATCTCATTATCATCATCTTAACTGAGTGACTTCTTATTTTAAAACTGCACCTAGTACTAGTCTCTCCCAAGAGGATCTGAGTTACAGCCTTGTACGTATAGGTATTTCTCCTATAAAGCGATAGTTGCGTTATTGCGTGACCTCACGTGAGAGAAAATTGTGCTATAGTAAATTGCCATAGAAAAATTGCTATACTGTACAGTACAAAGTTCACATTATCCAAACAGTGTCCACTTTTCAATCACGTTACAACCAATTTGCATTAACGAAACATGCGTTATAGCAGAAATACTGGAATGTCACTTCAAGTTTTTAAAAATAGTTTTCCCTAAAAGTGACAAGGATTTCTGCCTTTCCCACCATCAAGTTCAACGGTGCCACCAACCTCAAGATAGAAACAAAAATTACTTCAAATCACTTGAAATGTATGTCCTCTAGAGAGTGACCTACTTTGGTTAGAAGGTTGCATCCATCACTTTAACTAAAACTGTGCGCAACATTATTTGAGGGTTAGGTGGAAAGACAAAGATCAATTGCTGAATTAGATTTTGAAAACAAATATTGTTGAAGCTTTCAACAGTGGAGGAGAGTTGAGACAGGCAACTTTTTTTTATTCTTGCGGAGTGCAGGCATTACATTTAGGACAGCATTTGTTGCCCGAGATTGAGGAGTTTCTTTGTTTAAAAATGCTGCAGTCCTCTTGGTTCAGCTTTTTTTAGGCTTGGTGAAATTTAGCAGCTTGCTAGGGCCATTTTAGAGGACAGTTAAGAGTGAGCCACATTGCTTTGTGTCTGGAATCTCATGTATGCCAGCCCAGACAAGGTTGGAAGATTTCCTTCCCTAAAGTTGATTTTTAGGAAAACGAGGTAACATTAACCAACTGACAGGTTGAAGTCTGAGGTAATCAATTTTTAGATGTCTTAGTACACCGATGAACTGGAATATAATTCAGAAACTGCAGGAATATGATGTCTGCCCAGGGTCGTTACAGGGTCAGAGTGTCACCAAGCTGCTGCTTAGTGAAATTAGTTAATCAAGAACAATCAAGCAATGAGGTAATCCAGGGGTCCAGCAGAAGTGTGCATTCACTTGTTAGTATACAGCACTGTATGTGGTAAACCAGCAGAAAAGTATTGGGACTAAAATGCAAGACAGTTATATTAGTGAAAAAGATCAGTCCAGATGAAAAGAAATTCCCCATTGGTGCAGATAGTGCTTTTGGGCAGAGGAACAGCATATGAGCTCTGCACGACCAGCAGCAAAGCCTTCCGGAACTAATCTAGCAAATGGTATTTGGAATTTTGAAGCTCAAGTGATAGACAGTAGGCATTCCAATAGAGCAATGGAAAACTGAACTAAGGAAGATTATGAGGATGGGTCAATGGACCAGAGACGTTAACTCGGCATTCTCTGCAAAGATGCTGCCAGAGCTGCCCAGCTTTTACAGCAATTTCTGCTGTCTAATTTACAGCACCCAGAGTTCTTTCAGTTTTCACTTGTGTTTACAGTTCTATTGTGAAGGAAGACCTGAAACTAATATGCAAATTAACTTTTAATTAAGAAATAATTCACTTGCCTTTGTAAGCAAATTTCCTTGTGACATAAATGTTCTAAACAACGAGTTTTTTTTTATGACAGAGAAAATAAAAATATCCATAGAGATACTTCACCTTTCAAGTCAAACGACTGATTGCCATTGATGTCTTCATTCATTAGACCAGCCTATATTAGAAAAAGATACACACATCAATATTTGCTCAAAAGAAATTAGGATTTAGAAAGATCAAAACCACAAAATACCTACCATATCATTGAAAGATGGAATAATGGCAACTGGTTCTGTTCCCAATTCTGCATCCCAGTCTTCTGTCATATTGAGATAGCTTACTTATCCACACCACAAATACACTCTAAAAAAATTTCAAAGTAGACAATTATTCTTTGAAATAAAAAAAAATCACAAGACATATAGTTCAGATGGCCATTAGAAATTGTGATTCTTCATCTGGAGACAGCTAATTCACTGTCAGGCCCTGGGACCCTCTGATTATTTTCAAGTAGCCGTCCCATCCTTAAATAACAGCCACTTTAATGACCAAATGCAATAAGTCAGAGGTCACACAACATCAGGTTATAGTCCAGCAGGTTTATTTAAAGTCACAAGCTTTGAGAGTGCTGGCTCCTTCATCAGGTCCTTCACCTCTCTCTCTTTGTGATTTCAGTAACAATCCCGATTTTGTGCCAATTTATTTCTATATTATCTTCAAGTTATAAACCACATTCAGGTCACACACTTAATGCATATTAAACTTGATACAATTTGTAAATTTCTCCACCAAATTTCCTAGCTACAATCAGGACTGAAAGAGGGTCACTGGGCCTGAAACATTGACTCTGCTTTCTGTCCACAGATGCTGCAAGACCAGTTTCTCCAGCTATTTCTGTTTTTGTTTCAATTTCACACTTAGTCAGATTTTACTTCATTTTCAGATCTTTGTCCACCCACTTAACCTATCTACATCCCTTGGTAGGCTTCTTACATATTCTTCACAACTCCAATTCTAATCTACTTATCAAGCCCATGCAGCCAGAAAGTAAATTAATGGGAATACTGGTTAAGATCAATACAATATACCATGCAAGCAAGCAAATGCAAAGTGAGAGTACTACAGTAATGTAAGAGAAGTTTTAGACTTAAACTTATTCTTTCTTCTACTTGTCTAAGTCATTTTAGCACTGATCAACCAAGTGGAATAGATGGTCTATCGTATTGACCCAACCATTGTTCTTCACTCCCACATGCAGGAAGTGCTTTCCTATGCAGAAACTGGAGCTCCAGTAGTAGCTGGAGACACTGTGCACATCCATGAGGCTCAGAAATATGAACAGTACATTCAGAGGGGGGAAAAAAAATGTGCTCACACTGTGGTTTGGGAGGCTGGAAGGAAAGGAATGCATGATTGCCAGGCAGTATTAAAGAGAAACAGGCAAGTAGTGCACAAATTTTCTGGAAGAAGGGTCTAGGCCCGAAATGTCAGCCTTCCTGCTCCTCTGATGCTGCTTGGCCTGCTGTGTTCATCCAGCTCTACACCTTGTTATCTCAGTGCACAAATTCCCTGGAGTCCTGCTCACAAATTGCTTTTTCTTCGTGGAAGCTGATGAGGGTGAATATTTCTTCCCCCATTTATGAAACATGGTCGCTGGACAGATCAGCTCTTACACCCTAGTCCTGTAGCCCTTGAGAAGGTAATGGTGAGTTACCTTCATGAACCCCTGCAGTCCAGGTACTGTAGGTAGACCTGCAATGCCATCAGGGAGCGAATTCCAAGGTTCTGACCTAACGTCACTGTAGGAATGGCTGTATACTTCCTAGTCAGGATATTGAGTGCATTGGAGGGACACATGAATGTTGTGGTGTTGTCTATGTATATGCTACTTATGTCCTTCTAGGTGCTAGTGGTCATGGATTTGAAAAGCGCTGTCTGAGGCTCATTAGCAAATTTCTGCAATGTGTCTTGTAAACGTTACACACTACTGTTATGACTGAGCACCTCTGGTAGAGGGAGTGGATGCACTGCCAATCAAGTGGGATTATATTGAACCACAGTGTTGTTGGAGCTACACTCATCCAGGCAAGTGGGGAGTATTCCATGACACTGCTGACTTCTGCATTGTAGAGATGGTGGACAGGCTTTGGGGATTCAGGAGGCAAAACTCTTGTTGCAGAATTGCTAGCCTCTGTCCTACCCTTGTGGCCAGTTTATGGTTAATGGCAACCAAGGATGTTGATAGTGGGGGGATTCAGTGATGATGATACCATTGAATATTAAGGATTGGTCGGTGGATCATCTCTTATTAGAGATAATCATTGCCTGGCATGTGTGCGGTGCGAATGCCACCTGCCGCATTTTTGCCCATGCCTGTATATTGTCCAGGGCTTTCTGCATTTGAACAAATGATGCTGACCATTGTGCAAGTCATTGACGAACATCACCACTTCCACCTTATGAAGATAAGGTCATTGATGAAGCAGCTGAAGATGGTTGGGCCTAGGACAATGCCCTGAGGAACACCTGCAGAGATTGCCTAGAGCTGAGGACTGACCTCCAACAACCACCTCTTTATGTGTCAGGTACGACTCCAACCAGAGGGTTTTCCCCAGATTCCCACTGATTACAGTTTTGATGCCATACTTGGTCAAATGAAACCTTGATGTCAAGGGCCATCACTGTCACCTCTGAAAGTGAGCTCCTCTGTCCATGTTTTAACCAAGAATGGAATGAGATCAGGAAAATGAGCGGACCAAGTGGAACCCAAACTAGGTGCAATGAATAAGTGTCATAGCGCTGTTGAAGACATCTTCCGTCACTTTAGTGATGAGACGGTAATTGGCCCAGTTGGATTTGTCCTGCTATTTGTGCAAAGGACAGACTTCAGCAATTTTCCACATTGTCAGATGCCAGTATTGTAGCTATGCTGAAACAGCTTGGCTGGGGGTGACCTAAAAATTCTGGAGCACAAGCCTTCAGTACTATTACTGGAATATTGTCAGGGCCCGCTGCCTTTGTACTATCCAATACCTTCAACTATTTTTGGTATCATATTGGGCAAACTGAATTGGCTGAAGACAGATATCTGTGATACTGGGGACTACTGGAAGAGGCCTAGATGGATCATCCACTCAGCACTTCAGCCTTATCTTTTGCATTGATGTGTTAGGTTCTTCCAACATTCTGGATGGCAATATTTGCAGCACCACCTTCTCTAGTCAGTTGTTTATCTATCATCACTGGATACATTTTGCCCCACCAGTAGAACAGATCCACAAATAGGAAGGTAGTCACGAGGGAGTTGTCCTGGGAGTTCATAACATTTGATTCTGGGCCCCATAGCGCCTCATTGCATCAGGTCGAACAAACATGGACAAGGAAAACCTCTGCTAATTTACACAAAACCCTTGCCCCACACTTTAATCAGTTGTCCATGTTGAAAACCAATTCAAGAATCCATTGAGGGTGTCAAGGATACAATAAATGCTCTGGGTGAGGATCTTCAAAGTCCATCATCAAAACAGTAGCTCAGTAACACCACTACTGGCTAAACCCTAAAGGAGATAGCTTCGGCAGTGGGGGGCTACTTGACTTCATCCTCACCTGTTGAAGATGCTTTTGATCCCAAGTAGTGATTGCAGAGATCATTGCACAGTCCTTTTGGAAAATATCCTCCTTCATTGTGACAGATTGTGCTCAGATCTACCAATTCAAACTAAGCATCTATGAGGCAGTCTTAACTATTAGCAGCAGCAGAAAAGGTACTCAACCACAATCTAATTTAGTGGTCTGATAAATCCCCACTCTACAATTATCAACATGCCAGGAGATCAACCCTGGTTCAAAGAAGCATGCAGGAGGACATGCCAGGAGCAACACCAGGCATACTTTTTAAAAGTGCTGCACATCAACTGCGTATAGTTCTGGTCACCACACTACCAGAAAGATGTGGATGCTTTGGAGAGGATACAGCAAAGGTTTACCAGGATGTTATCTGGTATGGGGGATTTTAGCTACGAAGAAAGGTTGGATAGACAGGTTTTGTTTTCACCAGAATGCAGGAGGTTGAGGGGTGACCCGATTGAAGTTTGTAAGATTGTGAATGGCATGGGTAGTCTGGATAAGTATGAGGCTTTTTGTCAGGGTGGAGGGGTCAATTACTAGGGGACACAGGTGCAGGGTGCGAGGAGGGGAAGTTTAAAAGTGATGTGCGAGGCAAGTTTTTCACAAAGCCTGGAACATGTTGCTAGAGGTGGTGGAGGAAGCAGACACAATAGCAGCATTCAGTAAGCACCTGGACGAATACATGAATAGGAAGGGAATAGAGGGCTGCAGATCCTGTAGGTGAAGACAGTTTCAGTAAGGAAGGGCAAAATGGATCGGCACTGCTTGGATGACTGAAGGGCCTATTTCTGTGCTGTATTGTTTGTTACAATAAATGCTGCCTAGCCAGCAATGTCTTCATCCCTTGAGTGAATAAAGAAAAAGAATAAAGTTCTTTGTGCTAACCTAAAAAAGGATGGATAATAAAATAACTGCAAAATAAAAAGGCAGTCAACTAATTCCAAAGCCAGTGGATCAGATCTAACCAGTCCTCCCAGTTGTGAAATGTCATGGACAACTAACTTTCAGAGGAGGCTACAAATATGACTACCCTAAACAATGGAGGAGCCAGATCAGAGCATAAAAGACAAGACTGCATCCCTCTTCAGCTAGAAATAGTGAGTGGACAATCCAGCTTGGACTCTTTGTGGGGTTCCCAGCATAACAGATGCCACTTTGATTCACTCCACATGATATCACGATGCTGAAAGCACCAAATGCTACAAACATCTACAGGCCCAAATATCAACCCAGCAATAGGACAGAATTGTGCTCTAGAATTAGTTGCATTGCTGGCCAAGCTGTTCCAATACTGTTACAATGTACCAGATAGATGACACAGAACATTGCCCAGGTTATGTCTGGTTTCATAAAAAAAAATCCAAAATCAAATCCAGCTAATTACTTTTGAAGGTGACAGGGTCGTCAACGCTACTATCAAGACATTCTTGATCAGCAATACTTACTCAATGATGATCAGTTTGAGTTTCACCAGATCCATTCAACTCCTGACTTTACTACAGCCTTGGTTCATATATGGACAAGAGCTGAATTCCAGAGGTAAGGTGATAGTGACTGTCCTTGACATCAAGGCCACATTTAACAGAGTAGCATCAAGGAACCCTAGCAACAACAGAGTCAAAGGAATTATGGGGACAACCACTCCTCTGGTTTGAGTCAAACCGGACATAAAAGATGGTGTCAGAGATAGTAGGAACTGCAGATGCTGGAGAATCCGAGACAACAAGGTGCAGGGC